GAGGCAGTGGGGGAGGGGCGGCGTTAAGCATATTCGAACTGAAGTTTTGTTGCACAAAGAGACTCGAAATAGTTGCCATATATCTCTAGAATTCCCCCCAAGATTCAGGTCTTATAATATCACAAATGTCTTTGCAGTAGGAAGAAAAACATTCTTATGATTACTGATCCATGTAACTAAATAACTTCCAAAGGACTGTGCCAATTTATACTAATTCTAGCAATGCCCAATTAGGTTCATCATATGCTTGCCAACGATGGATATGATAATTGAAATGTTTTTGATAATTTGATAAGAGAGAATTGCTTCTCATTATTTTAAGTAGCACTTTTTGCTTAAGAATGAAAATGTGTATTTGCCTTGTTTTCTTAAGGAAATAATCTTGAGGAATAAACTATATATACAAAATAATAATAGAAATTTTTTACCGAAAGAAAACTAAATATCCAATTGAAAAGGGAATGGTTAATAAAGTCTGATATACATGCTAAATGAAATATTCAATGGTTACAAAGTAATTATTTTGAATAATATGTAGCAGCATTGAAAAATGCTTATAAGATTAAAAGCAATACATGTAGTAATTGACAAGCAGATTCTAAAATGTTTATGGCAAAATGCAATACATATACTGTGATTATAACCATTTAAAATGAGCTTTTAAAAAGTCATGAAAGAAAGATAATAAAACAATAGTAATTTTGTCAGGTCATAAAATGATGGGTAAATTTTGTCCTTTCATATTAGACTTGTATAACACAAATATTTGAAAGATATATTTGTTCTTCCTATAAAAATGCCATTTTATTATCATTGCCAATAAACCATCTTCTTCTGAATATGACACGTGAGAAAAATAATATCAAAAGAAAATATTTGATGGAATGGCTTTCAGGAACTATGTGTGCCATATTCCCCTATTATTTTATGAAAGTTTTATTCCCTGGAGTACCTCTTCAGAGCATCTCTTATATGTTCCTATCCTAAAAACCGACCTTGTTTCCACCTCTACAGGGATATATTACTCCAATGGATTTTATTTGGCTGAAGCACCTCATTCCAGATGTTCTTCAGAATAACAAGGACTTTCTCTTTGGGAATATTACAGAACTTTACGAATTTCACAACAGGTATATAATAATTCACATTATCAGGGAAAATGGAAAGTAAGAGAAGGATGGAAACAGGCTGATGGAATTTGGAGATGAAAGTGCTGGGACATTTTCAGGTTTAAGCAAGTCATCCAGAGTCGCTGGATTGGGTTGGGACAGAATGAGATGAGGAGGGGAGAAGTGCCACAGGGTCCCCGAGAAAGCAGGGAAAAGACATTAATGGAGCATATACTAGGTGCCAGGCATCAATGTTGTATTTGTCTGTTCCTTTGCTTATTAACCTATTTATGCATCAGCATTTATTAAGCACCTGTTCTGTATCGGGCGCTGTGTTCAACAATGGGAATACCAAGTGACCAAGACACATGTTCGCATACCTATTATCATAGAGTAGTTAGTGCTGGCAACTAGGGTGTTAAAAAAATGCTAACTGGTCAAGCAAGTTGTCCTTTTAGCCCAGGGCTGCTTGGGTGTTGAGTTCTAGACAATTTGAGGAAGAAGGGACTTTGGAAATCATCTTCTAATCCTTTCATCTTACAGCTTCAGCTTGTTTGCTCACTTTACTCACTATAATGACCCCCAAAATCACAGAACTGATTGACGAAAGGGAAAAGAACCACAGCTGTTTCCTAACCACATCTCACCTCTATTGGTCTTGTCAAAACTGAAATGAAAATCTCATTTCTGCTACTTTCCCTGGAGAAGTTATGCAGCCTCTTTGAACCTCAGGTTTCACATTTATGAAACCCTATCTTGCAGGGTTTGGTGGAAGATTAAATGAGATATTGTTTGCAAAGCACTTAGCTTATGCCTGGCTTATAGTAAACTCTCGGTGATTATTAGTAGCAGCAGCAACAGCAGCAGTTCTTATTAACATTATTAGCATGTCGCAGAGAGCATCAGTGCATCCAGTCTGTCTATGCCTAGTGCTTAGAATCATCAGAACAGCTGCGAGTGGTTTGAGTGAATCCTAGTAACATCACAGAACACATTTTTCGCTTCTAAATCCGTGCGTTGAAGATGAGCCCAAGACAATAAAGCCTGGAAAACAACCTTTTTCTAGGCACCTCTTAAAACCTTATGTGATTTTACTTTAAAAACCATTTAACCCCATGAGTGTAAAAATCAAAGCATTGTTGTACTTTTCTCTCCACAGGACTTTTCTAAAAGAATTAGAAAAGTGCACTGAAAACCCTGAGCTTTTGGCAAGTTGCTTTCTCAAGAGAGTAAGTCTGTGTTCCAAATAAACCAAAATAACCACGCGATTAAAGTCAGCCCTTAATTTTCTGTGTAAGTGGCAAGGGCTAATGGAAACACAAGTGGTCTGAAAACTTATATCTGCCTTTTGAATGCAAAGCGAGAATCCTTCACTCAGTGACAGATGACCCCAGTTTGACTGAGCTCACACTGATCAGTGGAAGCCACTTACAAGCCTGGCCTCTTGCAAAGTCCAGTGAAATGAAAGACTGGCCCCCCAGGCAACCCAAAGTAGGTGATCCCGAAAGACTCTGAATGACTAAGCTCTTTTAGGACAAGATTCACACTTGTGTTTCTCACTAGCTGTATTAACTCTCAAGAGAAGTGCTGATGTGAAACTAAAAATCCCCCCAAATGTATTTACTTCCATTTTCTTTTTTACAGCCTAGAGGGTGGTTAGGAAATGTTATATATGCAGCCTCTCTGATATTTAGTACCCAATTTATGAATTTCCTGTCCTATAGCCACATACTCCTACCTCCCCTTCCAACCACACAGACCTCTTCCTTCTCCCTGCTTCTCCAACTCCGGCTTTGGGCAATTAACAGGCTGTTTGGGCCAGTGGTGCTGCCTACCAGCTGGCACAGAAGTGTTTTTACCCGACACCATCCCCACCAAGTGCCTTCTTCCCCGTAGGAGGCCAGTGCAGGTGCCCCTGGTGCCCCCTACTTTCTATATCTTTCCTATTCTCTCTCTCAGCTAGCCCTTCTTTTCAATCTCTTCCTAGTTTTTCTCTTTTTTGTGAGCTTGAGACAACAGATCAAATAACCTCAAATTTTTTAAACAATCCAAATTATGGCAGATAAAGTTTAAGAGCTGTACTTTTGATAAACTGAAAGCAAGCGAGCAAAATTTGCCGGGTTTCAAGGTATTTGACATAATGGAAAAACAGAGCCTTCAACACTCAGAGCGCCTCACCAGATTGAAAGGCCCTGCATGGGCTTTCCACCAGGGCCCCCATGATAGGTTTTTCAAGTGCTGGTATTCTAGATAGCACACTGAAAACTATTTTGTATTCAATGTGATTGATTTCCTTTTTGAATTACTTTTAGAGCATTATTAGTGTTTTATACTATTTCGCAATTTTGCACTCATCAAACCACCAATGTGAAATCTACTTTCAGGGTTCAGAAATATTTTATAATTGTTTATGTTGTTGTTGCGAAGATTTGTTTAAATTTTTGAATGAGAAAAAGACCAAATTCTGTGGGGAAAAATGGATATTGTCAAATAAAAATTGTCCAAATATGACAAAATGGTCAGGGAGTTGCTAATTAAATGTCTTTTCTTAGAAGAATTCCTCTCCTAAAGTTTTACACAGCGTTTTACAGTCTCCCATGCTGGGAGACACCTTAGAAATCATTAATCCAGACCACAATCATAGTCCTATATGATTTATGATGTTGGAGAAAAAATACAGGTAATAAATTCTTATCAAGCACAAAGTTATTACTCTAGGACAAATGGAGTAACTAAAAGCCATAATTATCTAATCTTTGAGAATCTTTGAGAGAATTGGCTGCTTCCATACAAAGACTCGGATTTGTCAGCCAATAAAACTGACCCACCATCCTTTACTTACTACAGAAGTTTACCTTTTGTCAATAGTATTTGCAGAATTCCATTAATCATAAAAATGAATTTTGAAATATTGCTCTAGCCAAGTGTTTTATTCAGACTCTATAACCTATAGCATCCAGGGAGATTCTGCCCTGAAAACCAAGCTCTATGTATAATATTTGTCAGTGGTTTACTTTGTGCTCCATTTGCTCAATGAGAGGAGTACAGGGATGGGACTCGGGGAACACAACTTCATTTCTAAGTTGAGCCACTTGCTATCTGCATGACCTCAAGTAAGTCACTTAAACCTTTGGAGTCTTACTTTTCTCCTCCATATAACAGACTTAACAATACCAACATGTAAAGTTATTGTGGAAATCAAGTAAAATGATGCATGCAGAAGGGTTCTACAATGTAAAAAGTGATTTGACAGTAGCTGCTATTCGTTGGGTACTCTGCATGTTCGTTCATTTGTTGAGAGGTTTCTGTATATCATCTCACTTCATCTAACAGTAATCACAGGAGTTGACTGCTGCTGTGAGCCCCCTTAACAAATGAAAAAACTGAAGTGTAGGAAGGTTAAATACCTGACCTCAGGCTATATAGTTCATAATTGACAAAGCCATCAAATGAACCTGGGCCATCTACCACCAGAGCCCACAGTTTTAATCCGTAAGCAATCATGTCTCCCTATGTGAATATGAGTTTCGGTAATAATTTTTTTAGCCTGCTGATTGATTCTATAAGGAGGTGAGGAGAATCAGGCACTTTCACATGCTGCTAGTTAGTGCACATCCTTTCTCTGAGGACCAAAGAACAAATTTAGGTCAAGAGTTATGTTTTGGTTCTTGAAGGCCTTTAATGTTCTGTTGCTCAAAGCGCAGACACATGACCAAGGGGCGAAGTTTTCATGAATGTAGGTTTCAGCTCAGCATCTACCGTGAGAACCAGGTCCCTCTCTGTTACGGGGAGAGTCTGGAAACATGTGGCTGACTGCTGAGGGTGTTCCACTGGGTAGGAAGCTTGATCTCCCAAGTCTCTTCAATTTCTGAGAATCTTCTGGTGGGGAGTGTTGAAAGCAGTGAAACCTTGAATTCTTTCAGGAACCAAAGGCTTTGAGCTCTGGGTGAGATGACGTCGTCAATTTTTAATGTTTTATAAGCCTGGCCTTCAGGATGGCAAAAATGTTCCCCATGTCTAGGTTGCTGTGCTCTGGGAGCCACTGAGTTTAGCAAATGTTCTGTGCATAGTGCCAGCACATCAGTGACACTCAGCAGGTAGTTCTTGAGTGAATGCATAGTGAATGTATTATTGTTAAGCTCTAAATTATTAACCAATCTGAACATTTCTCTTCCTAAACGTGTGTGTGTGTGTGTTCATGTGATTTTTCCTGGAGAGAGTAGCAAGTGCAGAGTTGCCATAGTTCTTGTAGTGAAATGACCACTTAAATCCATCAGGAGAGGGGAGGAGATATAGAAATGGAAATCATTCATTATAGCAGTGCGTTTAGAAGTAGAATAGACAGAGTTGAAGCCATGAAGGGAAATATAGCCCATGTCTACATGGAGGACATCGAAAGTTGGCCTTAGGAAGGTAGGGACACAAAAATCTGAAAGGAAGTAGCCACGTGGGCTTCTCTGCCACAGCAGCATGGGCTCTGTGGCAAGCACAGCTGCTGTGGAACAGGCTTTCCTGATGGAGCAGATGGGGCTGGCCAGCTGACTCTTTAGCTGAGGGTATCCTTTCTACCTGGGATATTGGCAGATGTGTGCCCCAACTCATGGTCTTTGACATGAGGAGAATATAGGTCACACTTGAGAATCCCTGTCCATCTCTAGCTGAGATAGTCACGTAACTTTTCCTTTTGAGAGTCTTGTGTTGCAGGTTGAAGGTGATGTATGAGGCAGAGCTTGCAGCTTTGGGGCTTGCCCACAAAATTTAGATCTGTGGTGTTTTGTCCAAACTGCCACATTTTCCTTCTGAGGTGTTTCTATCTTTTGTTGTTTCTGAGGTTTTTTTCCTAGAGCTGGCATCATGATGATTTTAATAAGGAGAAAGTGGAGAGAGAGAGAATGGAGGGGCCATCAGTCACCAGCACTTTTCCTGTTAGTTTTATCATTCACTGAAGAACTCTTTTAGAAAAAAAAAAAAACCTATTTAGGGGAGACATCAGTGTCCTAAATAAAGAGCGCAGGAGAAATGATAAAGATAAAAACCAACTCCTGTTCATGAATTTACTTATTAATTTACCAGAGTCCTGTAATTGCTTCCACAGCACTTTGTTCATATCTGTGTTTAGTACTTACAGTTGTTTACAGCCCTCTTTTTGCCTCCCCATCATACACTTTCCCGACTTAAGGTTATTTATGGTGCGTCCCCAGTTCCTCACACATTAAAGAATCTCAGGCTTGCTGAATGAATGAATAAACTTGTATTATCCTGTCCACTTCCTGGAAAATGCTAACTAATTAATTTGTTCTAATTTTTCCCACTCAGAAAGAAGATCTTCAAATATATTTTAAATACCATAAGAATCTGCCCCGAGCTACAGCAATCTGGCAAGAATGTCAAGACTGTGCCTACTTTGGGGTAATGTTAAGATTACAAGGTCTCCCACAAATTGTTTTCCCTGGACAGTGTTTACGTGCATCAGATTTTTAAAGATATCAAAAGTATGAACTACGCAGAGGAGTTTGAGATTTATGTTTATTAAAAGTGTCTCTTATTTTGAAATTACACATTGGACGTTTTGATGCCCTGGGTCTCTGTGGGACAAGCCTGTGAGGAGCAGCTGTAGCCCAAGGAGAAAACCGGAGTCTTCCTCTAGGATAGGTTTTAAAAATGACATCAATAAGTTATCAGGTACCTTCCAGACTCAAAATGACCTGAACATATCCCACCATACCCCAACTCGAAGACAGTCTGCCTCTTTTTCAGGAAGATTTGAAATGCCCCACTGTCTTCTAGCGGACTTGCTTTGTAAAAGAAATACATGGTCCTGCTTCCCTAGTTGCCTGTAAAACTACTAGCCAAGCTGTCGCCTTTCACTTTCTTTCATTCCCAAAGGACTGGACAGCTCAGTAACATTACGAAACTGGTCAACACAGCTGTCCCTCTTGTCCATGAAGAGCTTGTTTCATTTCTTGTATTTAATTGCTGCCACTTTCATTCTGAGTGTTGTTTGTTTTGTTTTATGTTGTTTCTGTTTGGTTTTTAAAGGTATGCCAGCGCCAATTGGATCACAATCTCCCTCTTTTTAAATATCTTAGAGGACCGAGCCAGAGACTTATAAAATACCAGACGCTGTTGAAGGTAAAGTCAATAAGACAGTGCTTTTCTTTGTTGGGAAAACAGATGCCTATGCTATGCTGCTCTTTTCTTTAGACGTGTGGAGTTGTGACTTCCTTTTCCAAAGGTGAAGATGTCTATCCTTTGAGCTTTTTCTGTCCTCCAAGTCTACAGCAGCCCTCCTCAATGAGTAGTAAGACCGAAAAATCATAGAGTTGAAAGGGACCTGGGTGCCTGGCTAGTCCAACCTGCAGCCAGAGCATGAAACTCCAAGGAGCCTGGCTGAGGAGAGGAGAGGTCCTTGGGAGCAAAGTGAGGAGGGGGATACGGCCACACTGCTGGCAACTGAGAGGGTGGGGAGACCTGTAGCCATTGTTTTATAGATGGAGATGTCATACAAGTGTTGTAATAAGGATGCTGACTCAATGCTTCTCACCATGAGTGATATCTGTGAGCATGTTTTGATACAGCATTCACTTAGGACCTCATATTCCTCTGACTGTCCCATCCTTACTGTCAGGAAGTCTCATCGCTGGGCCCAGTGAGGAGAGGGCAGGGTTTGGTGGGGGTCTTCACTCACTGGGTCTGGCTTCATCGGGAACTGAAGGGCTCAGGTGTTCCCATTGAAGTGATGTTGACACAATATCTAGGTTCTGTACCATGTGCGGAGGGCTGTAGGGCATAGTGATTAGAAATGCAAAGTCGGAAATTACACAGCCTAGGTGTGGATCCCAGCTCTGACAGCTGTATGAACTCAGACAAGTTACGTAACCTCTCTCTGCCTCACCTGTAAAATAATACTTTTATAATATGCTTTTGAGGAACATTAAATTAAGTAATACATGTTAGAAAATACTTAGAAGATTTCATTAGCTTTATTTCACTGAGGAAACACGAGACAGAATCACTATAAAATATTCTTTGGGGGTCTGTTGGAAACCATGCCTTAGAGGCTACTCAGAGCAGACCAGTTTTTCCCTTAGTGAAGCTTTTTGGGTGCCCAGAAAAACAAGTCCAAACCACTAGCATGCCTGTGAAGAGAGGAAGAACTTTGTGGTGTTCTCCACCCTGAGGAATGCAGCTCGTTCTGCAGTGCCTACCATGAGCTTCTTTGAGAGAGCATGGATGTTAGAATGCCTCATGGCTTAGAAAGGATCATGGGATCCTAGAGCGAGAGAGCTTTTCTATGTATAAAAGAGAGGGAAAGGAATGATAGATTATACCATTAAAAACTCACACGTGAAAAATTGAGGAAAATATTATATTAGCAAGACATATGATAAATATTCAGCATGCTTAATAATCAGCTCATAGAAATTAATAAGAAACACAAAAAAGAAATATCTATAAAATGATTAATATCTGAGATACTGTAAAAACTGATAGTCATGATCGAGAGTTTTTTTGAGTACATAATGTCTAATGACTCACTTGGCAAGTTAATTAGACATTTCAATACATGTATTTAAATACACATTTTAAATACATGCATAGGGATGATAGGAATCTACTTTCATCAAGCTCATGATTTCTATCGAACAGGCTAAGTGATGGGTAGAAACTATCAGATTTAATGTAGAGAATTTTTCTTGCCTGGATTTCAGTTACTTATGATGTGGTTTGTAAAACGGTCCATTACTTGTTTTACTGTAAGCTTTGCTTATTGCAAGAAGGGTATTTTAGAATAGATGGTCATGCTGATTTCCTGTGTAATCCAACTCATGTCATAAGAGCAACATTCATTTTTCTTCTTTTAAAAATTAAATAGGCTAATATTTAAAACATAATTAATAGGGAGAGGTTGGTAAATGGTACAAACTTTCAACTGTAGGATGAATAAGTTCTGAGGATCCAATGTAAAACATGGTGACTACAGTAGATAACACTGTATTATATAACTGAAGTTCGCTCAGTTAGTTTAGCATTTGGAGATTATTTGCACAGTAGATTTAGTCAGCATTCTACTTTTTGATTTTCTTTTTTTTAATTAAAAATTATTGGGGTGACATGGATCAACAAAATCCAGTAAGTTTCAAGCGTAGAATTCAACAGTATATCGTATATATGTTACATTGTGTGTTCAGCACCCATAGTTAGATTTCCTTCCATCACCAAATACTTTTTGATTTTCATTAAAGCTTTTGGGTTAATGCAGGGTCTGCTGGATTTTGAATCTCCTGAGGATTTGGAGATAGACCCAGGAGACTTAGAGGGAGGTTCGGCCAAGGTACTGGATTTTAAATATTGTTTTATGTAACAAACTGTTAAAGGTGTTCGTCCATGGGTGGGGGCATTTTGTTTTCCTTGCTTCACTGTCTAAATTTTCTAAAATTGTATGTATCATATAATTCACAGTCAGAGGAAAAAAACAAAACTAAAAAAAATGAAAGGTAATTTCGAAGTGGGGATTTATAGCAGGGTAAGTGGTAATATAGTTTTTCCTTTCACATAAAAATGTTTTAACAGGAATACAAACAGGAATGTGTAAAATGCATATATAAAAGACTGGAAGTAAATATGATAACATCTCTATTGTGGTTTTCTGTATGGTAGGATTATGAATGATTTATATTTATTTCTTTGTATATCTAATTTGTTTACATTATACCCTGTTCTCCTTCATGTGTGTATGTGTGTGTGTGTGTGTGAATTCTAAGAAAGACAGCCAAGGTTCTCTTAGAGAAATTGGTGGCCAACAAGATTATGAAGAAATTTGTGGCCTAGCAGTGAGGTTTCCTTTAAATTTCCTGTTGAATATTCTGGTTTTAACAAGAAAAACCTGAGGCATGTATTTCAAGGTGAGCAGCCATATGCATGCCCTCTCTGCTTCGAATGTGTGGTGGGGATCCCTTGAAATTGGAAGAAGCTCCAGACACAGGTAATAATTTTGTAGCCTGGAACAAAGGAAGCTAGCCTGAGTTAGAGAATTTAACAATGTTCATAAGAATTTTTATGAGTCCTACATTACCAATGCAAAACTAGGAAGGCAAAAGAATAGGAGCAGGTGAGTCTCTAAAAGGAATTTGAGTTTTAAGCATTTGGAAAAGAGATACCTGGTGTAAGAACTTTTAATCCTTTACTGATGACGCCACTATAAAGTCGGGTGAGACTCTGTTGTCTTTCACCAGGACCTGGAGCACATTTATTATGAGTGAGAACGTAAGAATCCATGGTGAATCGTTCAGTGGAGCCAGCATGCTCAGCTCCATTCATTAGTCCTGTCACTCATATCTCTGATCCAAAAATGCTTTGGCAGAGATTAAGAAAATACATCATGCAGCAGAAGGCAAAAGAGGTGGGGCTATATGGGGAGCAGCAAAGAGTTATCTATTCTTTGTTGTAGAAATTGATGGGTTGTTTTTTTCAAATAGAAGAAACCAACTCTTTTTGTTTGCGTTTACTAGATAACAGATAAATATGTTATGCAGGTAGCAGGGGCATAAAGTACTGAAAACCTAAGCAAAAGCCTTTCAAGCTGAAATAATCCTCCCTATCCTGTCCTGAGTATCACAGTGGTAACAGTTGGAACGTTAGTCTCTTGAATTAGCAGTTCCGGCTTTTCCTCTTAATGCTGTTTATTTTGGGGCGGGGGGTCAGACCTCATTGGCTTACCTCTTTGGCATCTTTAAAGGTGGTAGCATGTGGGGAGGGCTGGGGGAGGAGAGGAGAGAGAAAGGGCAGAGCTGTTGGAGATCAATGCGGCAAATGCAATCCTCACAGCCTTTACATGTGAGTCATTAGAAAACCTCCACGTGACAGCCCATTCTTTGCCTCTATAGGAGTTTAAAATATCCTCTTCTGGGATGGTTTTAAGTATGATTTTACCCATAGGAATAAGACTTTCACATTAAACATAGAAATGTGATACTCAGATTGTACTTTTCCATAGGTCCCAGGGGTATGGGATATAAAAGAGAGAGCAGCCAATTTAAAGGGGCTGGTTTCTTTCATGCTTTATAATGCTCAGATTGTTTCTTAACATAGCAGGAATATAATACCCATGATTTAATGAAATTTATTCTTCATTAGAATCATGTACAGAGGTGTGGTTGATGATAAACCAGCAATTATCTTTAGCCATCTTTCTTTGGGAGCAGGAAAACATATCAACGTCCCCACCATCTCAGACACTTCATGCTGGCTGGATCCGTGGCTCCTTATCTGTCCTGTTTTCCTTCTTCACTTAGTAAATGGTTTACCTTTTGATTTCCAACAAGGCATTTGGTTTCCACAGAATGGGCCAAAGATGACGAAAGATTCAGCATTCTTAGCTGAACTACACCAAGCTTTAGCTGTGATGGAGGATTTGATCAAGTCATGTGAGTTGGCCATGGACCTGGCAGCAGTCACTGGATGTCCGGTATGTTATTTTCCATAACATGTGTTGGCACGTTTCACATGAAAGGCAGACACGATATTACAAAGGTAGGAGATGCTGTGGCAAAGTTAGAGAAATGATTTATGGTAAAGGAATTTGACTCGGAGAAGGTAGCCTAAATTGGTTCAACAAACCTGTGCTACAAGATTCCAAGCAGCCCCTCAGCATTTTCAGGAATCTCAAGTTGTTCTCTTTTCGGTCTTGAATGCTGAGACTGACCCAGACTCAGGAACTCAGGGACCAGAATATACATGGGCTGGGGAAACTGCTAAAAGAATAATTTATTTTTTGACTCATGGCACTATTAAAATATTAAGATTTTCCTTCTTGACTCAGATTTTCTCCGTGAAAATTACTTTGAAAATGGGTCCTAAGTGAAAGTCGAACCCCGTTTTACATCACAGATCCCAGAAGAGGCCCAACGAGCACATGTTGCACATCCCTTAATTCAAATAGTTAAAAGAAAATACCAAGAGAGGCAGTGCTGGAGAGTCGCGCCATCTCTACCCTAGCACTGGGGTTAATCCTGAGCAGATCAGCCCCGGGCACACCGTCCTCTATAACGGTGTGATTGCCTTGGGATTGGAATATAAGTAATATTCAACTGGTTTTCACTGTGAAGTACTCTGGATTTTGACTCAGGCGTGTTTATTGTGTTAACAAATCACCACAAGCTTGATGGTCTAGAAGAGCATAAATTTATTATCTTACAGTTCCATGGGGCAGAAATACAACACATTCTCACTGGGCTAAAATCAAGGTGTCTGCCTTCCCTTCAGGAGGCTGTTACTTGCCTTTTCCATCTTACAAAAACCACCCACATTTCTTGACTCATGGCTACTGCCTGCCCTTCAAAGCCAGCAACAGTGGGTTGAGTTCTCACTCTGATAGCATCACTTTGACCTTTCCTTCTGCTTCTCTTCCACTTTTAAGGACTCTTTATTTTCTCAATTACAGTCGACATTCAATATTTTACATTAGTTTCAGGTGTATCGCGTAGTGGTTAGGCATTTAGAAAATTTATGAATTGATTCCCCAGAATTAATCTAGTACCCATCTGGCACTATACATAGTTATTAAAATATTATTGACTATATTCCCTATGCTGTACTTTACATCCCCATGACTATTTGGTAACTATCAATTTGTACTTCTTAATCCCTTCGCCTTTTATAACCATTCCCAACCCCTTTCCCATCTGTCAATCATCAGTTTGTCCTCTGGATCTATGAGTCTGTTTCCGTTTTGTTTATTTTGTTCTTTAGAGTCTACATATAAGGGAGATCATATGTTATTTGTCTTTCTCTGTTTGACTTATTTCACTTAGCATAATACTTTCTAGGTTCATTCATGTTGTCGCAAATGGTAAGATTTCATTTTTTTATGGCCGAGTAATACTCCATTGTATTGTATACATTGTATGTATATGTGCCACAACTTTATCCAATCATCTGTTCATAGGCACTTAGGCTGCTTCCATATCTTGGCTATAGTAAATAATGCTGCAATGAACATAGGGGTGCATATATATTTTCAAATTAGTATTTTGGATTTCTTCGGATGAATAACCAGAAGCGAAATTGCTAGGCCATAAGGTAGTTCTATTTTTAATTTTTTGAGGAACCTCCATATAATTTTCCATCGTGGCTGCACCAATTTGTAATCCCACCAACAGTGCACTATATCAAACTAAAAAGTTTTTTCACAACAAAGGAAACCATCAAAGAAATGAAAAAATAACTTACTGAAAGGGAGAAGATATTAGCCAATGATACGTTCAATAAGGGATTAATATTCAAAATTTATAAAGAACTCATGCAACTCAACACCAAGGAAAAAACCTAACAATCCAATTAGGACTCTTGTGATTGTATTGGACACACCCAGATAATCCATGATAATCTGCCCATCTCAAAGTGAGCGGCTTAACAGCCTTAATTCTATCTGCAACCATTCCGCATGTAACCTGACATATTCTCAGATCCAGGGATTAGGGTGTGGACCTCTGTGGGAGGCTATTATTCTGCCTACCAGACAGGGATCAAGCATTCTGAAAATTACATTTTAGATGGATACTTTCATTCACTTTTTTTTCCTTTTCCTTTTTACCTGGTTTTAAAAAATTCTGTTTATTGAGTTATGGATGAAATGACCTTTCTTTTTTTTCCTTATCACAAATAAAACTGTGCAAATTAATTAGGGGCAAAAAAACTGTGATCTTATTTCCCTCCCTCCTGGTGTTTCTCTGGCCAGCATCTCAGAAATAGCTCCACTGGGTTTGCCATGATCTGGGCCGTGATGCTGTTACTGTCCCCTGGGACTCCAGAGTGCTCTTTGCTTACTACTGATGCATGATTCAAGAGGGTATTCATGAACCACAGAGTGTGTGTGAGAGATCGTTTTCTTGGTATTAACTTTTTCCTCCTGCAGCTAAGGGAAGTCAAGGGAGCAATTTGTTTAATCATTTTGGGACATCTTTCTGTTCTTTTTATCTTTGAACGTGTGTCAGCTATCCCTATTTAGATATTCATTTGCCTGAGTCAAATGAATGTTCTAGAAACTGTACACAAGGTAGGAAATACCAGGTTATTTTTCTGAGTATAAATAACATATGAGGAGGAAGTTATGAGAATAGAATGATTAAAATGTGAGTAAATAACAATCTACCCTAATTTCATTCCGAGCCAGCTTGTGTGCAAATAATATGAACTAGTTTATAGAATTTTAGAGCTTTTACACCAAATGCAAAAAACTGTTTTTCCCCCATGTGTCCTCAGAATTGCACCTTTGACATACACTCTATGGTTTCTTTTTGTTTTTTGTTTTTTGTTTTTTTGTTGTTGTTTTTCGCTAAAGTCTTAGCTTGCTTTATATCTTGTGTATTGGCTAATTTATCCTGACAGTTTTGTATAATCCTATTGAATTATAGAGGAGCAGGCACTGGAATTTTCTGATTCAGCAACAGATCCAGGAAGGAAGAGTTAATTCATCTAAGATCATATGGGTATCAGCTTGGATTATTTCTTGGATCTCTTCACTCCCTGTCCAGGGTGCTGTCCTCTCAACACATTCTTCACCTGATGCTGTTTAGAGTTTACCAAGAACTCAACTACTAATAACTCAGATCTAATGATCCTGAAATTTTTTGCCTTATCTTTGTAGAACTTTGTCACAAGATGTTTACAATCATATGCTGTATGTACTGATAAATTCAGCTTAACATCTTAGCTTCTCTCCTTGACATCCAATATTAACCTGGTTTTGTAAAGAAAAGAAACTGAACTTAAGTGGATGAATTAATGATTAAAACAACTAAAAGAAAAATTTCCTTCTGATATTTACATGTTTCTTCTTGTGTATGTATACTCAGTTCTTGGTTTAATTTGATCACAAAAGCCTTAAACAATATTTTTAAAACAAAGGTTGTTTTGTGGAACACTGAGATGTAATTTACTTCCCTCCATTTACTAAAATAAAAAAATAAATAAGAAATTTCCCTCTCTTCAATCCAATGCATAAAATAAAGATACATTTAGAATCTTTTTAAATCCTGGCTTGCCAGGAAGTTTCCAAAGTTGAATAGTAAAGGTTGAATGAAACATTTTTGTTTCCTGGAACAAATTTATACAATTCATTAAAGGAAGTATTTTTATTGCAAGTTTATTGTGGCTTAGGGCCAGGTATTTTATTTCTATTTTATATCTTATACCATTGGCTGCAAAAGTAAGGCTGAGTAAATCATCTTAAATGACTCAATGGAGTTGCCTCGTGGATCTTCCTGCCCTCATGACACCTGTGTCTAAGAATGGTTGTAAGGAGTAAGTGAGAATAAATCTTAATTAAGGCACCTAGCACTGTGCCTGGTACCTCACAGGTTATGAATACAGGGGCTCAGGGACAGACTTATTTGGGTACTTGATCAGGCTGGAAGGAAAGGAACCTGTTTGCTTCTGGCAATTGTAGTAATGGGCTCCTCTGTTCCACAGCTTCTGCTTTGCATTTCTGTATCAGGTTGATACAGATGTTTCCTGCTGCTTTGTGCAAGAAGTATATAGCTCTGTCACAGTAGCTGTCACTTTCAGGAATGAAACCCTGAGCACCCAAAAGAGGTCTCTTTCTGGAGATTAGCTTCCTTAAAATCACCCTCTCAGCCAGCTTCTTCATTTGGCCTGTGCAGTCACATTTGAAATTCTCATATCTGAGTGCTTACCTACAAAATGTCCACACATGAAAGTGGTAGAATTTGCTTGCTTATTTTGCCATCATTTCCCATTCAGAGGAGGACTTTTCACTTGCTTGTTTGTTTGGGGGTAATCCTTGTTCCATCTCTGAGCTCACATGCATCAGATTCTTCAACACCCCAAAGTGAGAGCCATACCATTACGTCGCTGGTAGAAAAATTGGTTGGGGGTGTGTTCATTTCCTGGAGCTGCCATAAGAATGCACCACAACCAAATTGAGGGGTTTAAAACCACAGAAATTTGTTCTCTCACAGTTCTGGAGGCTAGAAGTCCAAAATCAAGGTGTTGGCAGGCCCATGCTCCTTCTGAGGGCTCTAGGAAAGAACCCTTCCTTGCTCCTCTCCTGGCTTCTAATAGTTTCTGGCAGCGCTTTGCATTCCTTGGCTTAGAGCTGTATCACTCCGATTTCTGCTTCTGTCTTCTCTATGTGTATGTCTCTGTGTCTCTGTTTTTTCTTCTTATAGGGTCACCACCCTTTAGTTTTGTGACCATCCCAATCCAGTATGACCCTATTTTACCTAATGACATCTGAGACCCTGTTTCCAATAAGGTCACATTCTGAGGTCCCAGGTGGACGTGAGTTTGGGGGGAGATGCTATTCACCCCATTACAAGAACATCACTGCATTAGCTCCCTCATAGTGCTGAGCATTCTGCTTCATATCCCCTCAGGCACTCACTAAATGCCAATAAATAAAGAAATACATTCGAAGGGACAAATACCTGCAAGAGATTGTACGTGTGGTCTCCAGCTTTGGAACCAACTATAGTCTGAATGGAAAGAAAAGATACCCATGGTTGAAAAGATGACCACTGGTCATCCTTGGTCCTACTCTGAGGAATCCCTCCATCCACTTTCCTTTGGTGGTGGGCAACCTCCACACAGGCATGAATCCTGGCTCTTTAATCCCATCATGAGCATGGTCCTGAGAAAGTTTATGCAAGGCAACCTGGAGGATATGAAGCTCATCTTTTTCAGCTGGACTTAGATCCAGTGATTGCCTCCAGTGATCTCCTGTGATGACAGACTTACTGGAAGAGCCAACCACAGAACCTCAAAAAGAGTCAGAACAATGGCAGAGCCCAGCTCACAGAGTTGGGAACTGGACAATTCTATGATTCCCAGTAGCTCTGGGACCTTGGCCTGGAAGTTGGGGTTCTCATCTGTGTGCTCTGCCTATATGGGCAGGTATAACTACATGCCTGTTGTCCTCTCCTCTCCCCACTTCCTGACTGGTTCTTTCCCTCCATCTACATCTTTTCCTCTTCTTCATAGTTTCTGGTGACTCATCATCTTCACTGCTCTGCTTCCTTACCTTTCATTCCACCACCTGCTCTCTGGTAAATCATCGCACAGCGATAGCTCCTGCTGCTTGCTGCCTTCTCCTCAGCTGAGACAAGGATCAGATTGGCCGTCTGGCATCTTTTTTCACACCTGGCCTCTGTGGTGAGGGACTGGCCCCTTGCTGGAGTCACATTCTTTGGTCAGTCGCCTCCCAAGGTACGAACAGCTATGGCTGCAGGTGGGGTGAGGAGGAAAGTGCAGAGGTGATAAAGGACAAAAACATCACTGCCCATGGTTGCCTCTTCTGTAGGGCTGTGGACAGAGCTGCTTCCTCCTTGGCCATGGCCTTGGCAGACATCTAACTAATATTGCCCATCCCTCTACAGGTCATTCTAAAGTGTACACCTGGGCTTGGTCCCTGCGCCCACATTATTCTGGCCTCTTTTAGAATTGTTTGATCAGCTGCGCCTATGAAATGGTCCCTCCACATTCACCAAACGTGTTCTTAAAAACGCTTTTCCTAAAATCCATTCATCTATCTAGTCTGGGATGTGCTTGAGGATGTGTTCCGCATTTGACTTTGTCACCCTTTATGAGGACTCATGGGAGAAATTTGTCTCACGTCCTATTAACAGGAATGTCCATGCTTTTCCTGAACAAGTAGTTTGGGTATGTCTTTGGACATAACAATCATATAACTCACCGTGTTTCCCTCTGAACTGCCTACTAGATGGTCAGAGCTGTGTCCGCAGCAAGTTTATATGACTTTATTGTGTGAGTCTTATGTACAACCTCTTCATCTTTTAATCTTTTTTCTTCATCCTAATTTTCTTTGTTATTTTCTGGTTGCCATAACATATATATTTTTTATAAGATGTATCAAATTTTTGAAATCAGGTGGAGTGTAATTATATTTTACAATAGAAACTACCAATTACAGTTGTTCATGTGACAAATATTTAGCATCGACTTTGGCCAGTTGCTTTGACTAAGACATATTTCCTATACTATTTATGTCTGTATAGTACAGATTGAATGGATTTAAAGGAGAAAGCAATCACTGAGGTCTTGAGTGGTTACATTTGCATGGCTCCTTGAAGGATGTGGATACAGTGAAAAACTTCTAAAGGATCCTCATGGACCCATCCACCCATCTGCCTTGGAACGTGGTCAAGCTGAGCCTGTGAAACCCAGAACAGGACCACTGCACCTTTGGGAAAGAAGGCCTTGTAGCTAGGACTCTTTATTCCTCCATGAGGAGTTAACACATGCAAATTTTACAAAGCAAAAAGAGAAAATCAGCACAGAAAATATGCCACAAATGCCATAGAAATGACTAGTTTATTTCTCATGAATTTTTATTTTAAAATTTCTGAAGTACAGTCGATTCTTCTTAAGAAAAGATAGTCACAGTTGGTTTAGTATAAACACTAAACTATAAAAATGCCTAATCATTTATGCAAAATGTACATATTTCTAGTATGAACAGTTAGAAATTGTAGAGATTTATCTTAGCTAGATATAACTCAGGAAAATTCCTCTGTCCTGGTCCTGTTCAAATAATTTTTCCTTTTGGTGTTTTGACTCAAGAAAATAAATGCTCAATTATCTACTTTAAGTGATATAACGTGAAAAATACCACATTCCCATCTCATCTCACTCCACTACCCGTTAGAGAAAGCTCAGAGAAGGCAGAGTCACCTCATGTGGACTTTCAACTTTCACTGAGAAAGGTGGGCCTGCTGTTGGAGAGAGAGGCAAATCAACTTTTTAAAATATTTGTCATTTGAGAATATCTTTACACTGTTTACTTGCTCTGAAAAACGCAGAGTTGAATGTAATTACCAGTTCCATTACAGTGTTATGAAGATGAAGTCATACTAAGCTTTCTCATGTTCTCAGGTTCTCAAAAACATGAAGCAAATGTTAGGATACAGATGGAACACATGGATTATCGAAGATCCATAGTGCAGCAAAAATTGTCTCTCCTGAACATAATTAAAATGTTAATTTCTTGCCCTTTTCAAGTACTGTCATATGTCAAAAACAAAGAAAATGGAATTCTGCTAGCTAAAATTAATTACAAAAATATCAGAGTATCAATATCTCTAATTCAGGTATTTCTAACAAGCTTTATGTTTATTACCTTAGACTATCGAATTACTTCCTTCTAAAAATGAATGGTGCCATGCTCAATGAAGCTGGCCAAATGGTAGTTTTGATTTAGTGACAGATTAGCCTGAGTGGCACTTTTAAGATTGTAAACTTCAAATAAGTATGATTTGAAGAGAGATCCCTAAGAGTTCTTTCCCTGTCACATAATTTAACACCTTCTTCCTGTGTGTGTCTGCGTTTCTACAAGGACGACGTCGGAAAACTGGGCAAGCTGTTGATGTGCGGCTCTTTCAACGTCTGGACAGTTCACAAGGATCGCTATAAGATGAAGGATTTTATTCGATTTAAGCCCAGCCAGAGGCAAATTTATCTCTTTGAAAGGGGACTAGTGTTCTGTAAGATACGAATGGAGCCCAGTGGCCAGGGCCTATCTCCTCATTACAGCTTTAAGAAGTCTATGAAGGTAAAGGGGTCCTTGTTACACCTGGGAGTCAGCACAACCCTATTGAGAGAAATATTGTTATCCTTGTTTTATAGCTAGGAAACTGAAACTTAGAGAACTGAGGTTTACTTGCCAAACGCCACACCACAGAGCTAGAATCCACATCCAGAAATGACTTCTCCAAAATTAGAGCTTGTAATCAGTCACTAGACAGGGTCAGAGCTGGAATAGAGGTGACTTGTGCTAAGTAGAGAAAAGGGACTATATAGTAGTCTGTCTGGACAAATCGATGTAAAAAGTACCCTCTTTCCTCCAGGCAGAGGAAAGACTTGGTCATGAGAACATGAGCTGGACTTTAATCTTTGACTGTCTCTTCTGCATCCAAGTATAGGCAGTATCCTGATCCGGGGATTCTAGGAACCCAAGTTTTCACCAAGCATTGCCTCTCGTCTGTATATGTTTCACAGCTAGGAAATGTTTCACAGCTAGCAAGGAGACACACACAATCCCCATCCCACACACACATTTGTGTTCTTGTGATTAAAGTTGTTAATTTATTCATTGTAGCTTTTGTTATTTACAATTACTAGTGGATACTAATTCAGTTACTGTTACAGAGAGATTTGTGAAATACTTAGGTGGTAAAGGAGAGATGATTTATTTGCTTGAAGGTTGCCAGGCTACAGCTCTACATATGGAAAGATGTAGTCTGTGTTGTCCTCTGAAACAGCAAGACAGATGACGCTGTACCAGATTGTGTTTTATGCTCTTTGGGGGCCATTAACAGAGGACAGTTAAACCTTTAGAAGGAAGATGGAAGAAGAGAACTATCGGGGGTAGAAAGGAATAAAGTAGCCAGTAGTGACAATTTTGAAATCAGAAAATGATGGTATAGAAAGTTATCTTTTTTCTTTATGACAGTTGATGACACTTTCAATTCACCAACTTGAAAGGGGAAGCAACAGAAAGTTTGAAATTTCCAACCGAAATGGACTTGAGAAATACATCCTGCAGGTAAAGCTCATGCTCTCCCTGCAGCTGTCCTCTCCTCTCCCTGGTGTTCCCATGACTTTGTAAGTGTCTTCCATCTCATTATTCTAAAGGTCACCCAGAGAATAAAAGCCCTGTGCAATTAATACTCCAGGTGATGTGACTCTCATAGTATTTTCTTATCTGTAATTGCAGGCAGCTTCAAAAGAAATCAGAGATTGTTGGTTCTCAGAAATAAATAAATTACTGACGGAACAACAAAACAATATGAAAGGTAGGGTTACTCCTGTTAACTTTAGTCTGGAGAATTATACTATTTCCAGCTTTGTGGTGGGTGGGCAGATTGGGGATTTTGTTAAAATAATTTGCCAGGAAAATAACTGTGGCCACATTTTCATCTGGAAGCCCTGATCACTTTAGATCGTGTGAATTTTTTCCGTGGTTGTGTAGGCATGTGCCCCTTTTAGTCATGTCCCCCACTACATATCTAATTGCCAAGATCAGCTTCTCAATCCAATATCGCAAAACAACCCAAGAAAATGTTAACGAAAATTTAAATGTCCAGTACTACCTTCGGAAGCTATACTACTTTTTTTTTTTTTAAGTTGAGATATAATTAATGTAACATAAAATTCACTTTCTTAAAGTGTACAATTCATTGGGTTTTGTCTATTCACAGGGTCGCGCAACTATGACCACTCTCTAATTCCAGAACATTTAGCATCCTGCCCTCCCACAATAAAACCCTGTACCCAATAGCAATTGCTCCCCATCCTCTTTCTCCACCCAGCCCCTGGCAACAACTTATCTACCTTTTGTTTCTGTGGATTTTCTTATTCTAGACATTTTATGTAAATGGAATCATACAAAATGTGGCACTTTCTGTCTCGTTTCTTCCACTCAACTTAATTTTTTCAGTGTTCATCCATGTTGTAGCTTGTATCAGTACTTCATTTTTTTATAGCTAAATAATAGTGCGTTGTATAGATATACCATATTTGTTTATCCATTCATCTGTTGATGGATATTTGAGTTGTTTATATTTTTGGATATTGGAATAATGCTACTGTGGAAACCTGTCTACGAACTTTTGTATGATTCCATGATATCAATTCTCTGGGATGTATGTGTATGCTGTGCCATGTGGTAATTCCATGTGAACTTTCTGAGGAATTTCCAAATTATTTTCCAAAGCAGCACCAGCAATATATGAGAGTTCTCCTTCCCACTAGCAATATATGAGAGTTCCATTTTCTCTTTTTCATCAACATTTGTTATTGTCATTTTGTTGTTGTTGTTATAATGATAACCATCCTTGTAGGCATGGAGTGGTAGCTTATTGTGGTTTCGTTTTCCATTTCCCTAATGCTAGTGATGTTTAGCATCTTTTCAGGTGGTTATTGGCCATTTGTATGTTTTCTTTTTCTAAAAAATTTTAATTAGTTTCAAGTATATAGTACATTGGTTAGACATCTATAAAGTTCATAAAATGACCCCCCCCAATTGCTCCCTCCCTCCACTGACCCTCCACCTTATGCCATGCTCCCCATCCCCATGACCATCCATCAGCTACTAATTTGTACTTCTTTAACCCTTCACCTCGTTCTCCCAGCCCCCAAAATCCCCTCTCCTCTGTCCATCACCAAATTGTCCACTATATTTGTAAGTCTGTTTTGATTAGTTTGTTCTTTTTATTCCTTGGATTCCACATATAAGTGACATCTATAGTGTTTATCTTTTTCTGTCTGACTTAAATACCTTCTAGGTCCATCAAAGCAATATCTTTTTCCATCCCCTTCCTTTTCATATGTAGGGGTCTTGTTTTTTTTTCTTCTTAAAGAAGTCCCTCCAACATTTCCTGTAATACTAGCTTGGTGGTGATAAATTCCTTTAGCTTAGATTTGTCTGGGAAGCTCTTTATCTGTCCTTCCACTCTAAATGATAGCTTTGCTGGATAAATTATTCTTGGTTGTAGATCCTGGGTCTTCATCCTGTCGAATATTTTTTGCCAAGCCCTTCTGTACCGCATAGTTTCCTTTGAGAAATCAGCTGCCAGTCATATGGGTGTTCCTTTGTAAGTAACTATCTGCTTTTCTCTTGCTGCTTTTAATATTCTTTCTTTGTAGTAACCTTTGGCATTTTAATTATGATTTTTAGAATTCTCTAAGCTTCCCGGAGTTTTATGTCCATTTCCTTCACCAGGTTAGGGGAGTTTTCCATCATTATTTCTTCAAACAGTTGTTCAACGTCTTGATTTTCTTCAGTTACACTGATCAGACAGATATTTGGACACTTAATAGTATTCCATATTCTCCTTAAATTATTTTTAAAGTCTTGGCATCTTATTTCTTGCTGTTCTGATTGTGTGTCCTCTAATAAGACATTTATTTGATCCTCTTCTTTATTCACTTTGTTTATTCCTTTGTTTATTACATTTAATATACTTCTCATCTCAGATAATGTGTTCCTCATTTCAGACTGGTTCCTATTTATAATTTCCGTTTCCATTTTTATGTTTTTTATCTCTTTGTCGAAGTCCTCACGGAATTTATCTACACTTCCTCTGAGTTCACTGAGCATTTTTATAACCAGTGTTTTGAAATCTGCATTTGTTAGGCTACTTGATGACTCCATTCTATCTGGATCTCTGTTCTCTTCTCTCATATAGTTTCTGCTTGTCTTCCCATTTTGGCTGCCTTTCCGTGTCTGTTTCTATGTACTAAGCAAAGCTCCTAAGTCTCCCAGTCTTATCAGTGTGGATTTGTGAAGTAGGTGGCACAGTCCTGAGAGGGTTTCAGCTGCAGGCCAAATTTAGCCCAAGACTCTACCCCTCTGGGGCTACCTGTTAAGATTCAGCAAGCAATCCACAGATGCTGTGCTTATAGTTGCCTCAAAAGGCCACATCAGAAACCGAAGCCAGCTGGATCCAGTGTGAGTCTAGGTGCTGTTCATCAAAGATCACCTAACTCATTGAGGATATATTTGGATGTGGCTTGGGTGGAAGCATGAGTTGGGGTAAGTGGGGTTTCAGGGAATCCTCTGGGCAGAGCGACCTCTGTTATCCAGTTTGATGACATTACAGCTATGGCAGCATTGTGTTGGCTGCACTGATAGCAGGGAGGACTCAAGAGGGAACAATGGATACCACAGGCACTTCTGTATCCAGCAAGTCTCACTTTAGCTCTCACTCCAACAATGTCTCCTTTTAAGTCCCTTGTGCCCTCTGCATGCAGCCAAATCATCACTGGTACTCAGAGTGAGCAGGTCTGGCACCGCGAAAATCTGCTCGCAGATGCAGCCCCTTTAAGAGATGTCTGCCACTGCTGCAGCCTCTGTCTCACTCAGCCGCTCGAGACCGGGTAGCCCCACGTCCTCACTCCGTCCTAACTTCTGCCATTGCAGGGTGATTTCTTGGATTTCTCCCTCATTGTATGGCTTGTTTATCTAGATCCCAGGCAATTCTTCCTTGCTGCCGCTCCTTGTTTCTGTCACAACTTTAATTTGGTCACCAGAGAGATGACAGAGCCTCTATCATCTATGTCATTTTTTTTCTCCATTATATGTTTTCTTTGAAGAGATGTCTATTTGACTTTTTTGTCCATTTTTTAAATTAAATTATTCGTTGAATCGTAAAAATTATTTATATATTCTGGCTTCTAGACTCTTATCAGACATATGATTTACAAATATTTTTTCTCATTCCATTGGTTGTCTTTTCACTTTCTTGGTATCTTTTGAAGAGTAAAGGTTTTTACTTGTGATGAAATCTAATTTATATATTTTTCTTTAGTTGCTTGTGTTTTGGTGTTATAGCTAAGAAACCATTGCCTAATCCAAGATTGTAAATATTTACATCTATACTTTCTTCTAAGAATTTAGTTTAACTCTTATGTTTAGGTCTTTGATCCATTTTGAGTTAATTTTTGTTAATGGTGTGAATTAGGGATCTAAGTTCACTCTTTTGCATGTGGATATCCTGTTGTCCCTGAACTATTTGTTGAAAAGACTATTCTTTCTCCCACTGAATGGTCTTGGCACTTATTATGGACTCAAATTTCATAACAATGTTTGTGTTTCCTCCAAATTCATATGTTGAATTCTACCTCCCACTGTCATGGTATTAGGAAGTGAAGCCTTTGGGAGGTAATTAGGAGTAGATGAGGTCATTAGCGTGGAGCTCTTATAAATACCATGGGAGAGTTTGCTTCCTCTCTCTGCTATGTGAGCATACAATGAGAAGTCGGCAATCTGTAGAAGAGAGTCTTCACCAGAATTTGACCATGTTGGCACCCTGATCTCAGACTTCTAGCCTCCAGAACTGTGAGAGATAAATTTCTGTTGTTTATCAGCCACCCAGTCTATGGTACTTTGTTATAGCAGCCCAAACCAAGTCAGCAGTCTTGAAAATCAACTGGCCATAGATATAGTATTCTTGATTGACAGTCTTTTTCTTTAAGCACTTTGAATATGGCATCGCACTGTAGTGTGGCCTCCATTGTTTCTCATAAGAGATCATCTATTAATCTTATTGAAGAGCCTTTGCATGTGACAAGTTGCTTTTCTCCTGCTGCTTTCCAGATCCTTTCTTTGTCTTTGGACAGTTCGATTATGATACATCTAGGTTTGGATCTCTTTGACTTTATATTTCTTGGAGTTCTGTAAATCATCCTGGAAATGTAAACAGGTGCTTTTCATCAAATTTGAGAAGTCTTCAGACATTATTTCTTTAAATACTTTTTCAGCCTCTTTCTTTCTTATTCTTTTGGAACTCTTATTATATGTATGTTGGTATACTTGATAGTGTCCTACAGGTCTTTAAAGCTCTGTTCATTTTTTTTTTCCATTCTTTTTCTTTCTCTTCCTCAAACTGGATAGTTTCAATTGATCTGTATGTAAAGACTGTCATTCTTTCTTCTGCCTGATCATATCTGCTCTTGAGCCACTCTAGTGAGTTTTTCATTTCAGTTATTATATTTTTTAACCCAGAATTTCTATTTTGCCCTTTTAAAATATAATTTCTCTCTATTTATATTCTCTATTTGATGAGAGTTTTTCTCAGACTTTCCTTTAGCTTTTTTATTTTTGGTTTCCTTTAACTCTTTGAACAATTATTAAATAGCTGATTTAAATCCTTGGTCTAAGAAGTCCAATAGCTTGGCTTCCTCAGGGACAGTTTCTACTGTTTTTTTAAATTTGTATGGGCCATACTTTCTTGCTTCTTTGCATGCCTCATAGTTTTCTGTTGAAAACTGGACATTTAAAATAACACAATGTGGCAACTCTGGAATTCAGATTCTCCTCCCTCTCCAGTGCTTGCTGTTGTCGTCAATTTTGTTTTTGTTGTTGATCATTTATTTAGTGACTTTTCTAAACTAATCCGGTCAAATCTGTATTCATGCATGGCACTGAAGTTTCTGCTCAGTTAATGACTGAGTAGAGATTTCCTTAAAAACCTGAAATCAATAAATATTCCAGTCTTTGCCAAGGGGCTCTGTGTGGTTATTGAAGCACACCTTCAATACCCAGCCAGGCAAGTGACAATTCCACCTTAGTCTTCACTTCCTGTTTGTGCAAAGCAAGATGATCAGCCAGCAGTGAGAGCTTAAGGCCTTCTCAGATCTTTCCTTAGCATGCATACAGGCCTGGGCACTTGCACATGGCCTTCTGGATTCTCAGGAATATTTTGGAGCTTTTTAAAGCCACCATGGACATCTCATTACCAACTTTTCCTTTTAAACTTTTAATTAGCCTGTTTTTGCCCCAGCTTTTATCCGGTGCTTTAGGCAGCCAAGAAATTTAACAGTTGCCACTACTCATGTTTTACAAATACCCCTGGGGAAAAGGCTTTTCACATTAGGCAAGCTTTGAATCAGGTCTAATAAAGACAGCCTTGCAAGTAGGGTATTCCAAGGAAAATAATGACAATTCTCTGGAAATGAGACTTTGACAGAGTTCCAACCCTGTTCTGCCCCCTCCTATGGCTGCCAGATTGCTGATTTTCACCATGATTGCAGGCTGTTGGTTTCCAAAGCTATCACCAAGAAGGAAGGGTAGGATGGACATGGGGCAATTAAAATACCACAAAGCTTACTGTTCATACTGAGATTCAGCCATCTTTCTTAAATAAATCCTTTCTTGAATGCTGTAAGCTTTTGCTTAATGTACAGTAGTCCTAAAACATTGTTTCTGATCTACTTTTGCTAGTTCTTCCATGCTTTCACATAGGAGATAATTTTGGAGGATTTTTTTTTCTGCACCATTTTCACAGATGTCATTCTCTGTATTCCTTTTAATAATTAAAAAATCGGTATCTCTGTTACCCTGTCACATTTGTTGTCTTCAATGGATGCTCATAACAGCAAGGCTATTTGGTAGGGAAACCCACAACGAGCTTCTTCCACCGAGAGCTAGTATTTCCTTCAGGTAATGTTGTTAGGGTTAAGAAATGCTAGTTTCATGTGGAAACTCTATATCCCATCATTTATACTGATGATAGTTTGTGTGCTTAGTAAGGAAAATGACATAAATATGAAAAAGATAAACTTTGTCTTCAGAGACTTCGCAAGAATGTAACCGTTTCCTACTCTTTTTGTTTCTTCTCTGATCTTCAGTTGGTGGGTAGGATGTGAGGGTGTGTGTGAGTCATATGGAAAAAGATTAAACTAAGAAATGTGATTAGAAAACGACCAATCAATTTTCTGTCACAACAACCAAGTGACATAGTTCTTGTAAACTGTAGGCCTCTGCCAGTAAGTAGTAACAAGATTATATAATTGATTTTAATTTATAGAAAGGTAAGATGGGAAAAAACTATGATTTAGTTTTGCTTTTGAACTATTATTACTGTGTTAAATATATGTTATTCTAATTGAATATGAGTGCTCAGGAAGCATAAAACAGAAAGTCATAATAATCCTAGTAGAAAAGGCTACTTCTTTTCCCCAGAAACAAAATTCTAGTCACAAGATTGTTCTAGAAATCTTTACTCCCTAGACCAGTGTTTCACAGAGGGTGGTTTAGGGACAAACCTGCATTAGAATTACTTGAAGGGCTTGTTACAAATCTAGATTTCTGGGTTTACCTTAGAACTGTGGAATTAGAATAGTGAAGGTGAACGCCTGGGAATACTTAACTTATTAAAGTTTCTGGACAGAGGCCTTAAACTACTATTTTTAAAAGGCTTTATTGGGATATAACTGACATAATAAACATATTTAGAGTATGCTCTTTGATATGTTTTGACATATGTACATACCTCTGAAAGCATCATCGCAATCAAGATAATGAACCCATCTATCACCCCAAAAAGTTTCCTGATGCCCCTTTTTTATTACCTTTATCTTGCCCCACCTCCCCCCTTGCTTTCCAGGTGAACATTGATCTTTTTTCTGTCACTATAGATTAGTTCAAATTTGCTAGAACTTTATAAAGGAAATCATACAGCATGTACTTTTTTGGTCCGGTTTCCCTCACTTAGCATAGTTATTTTAAGATTCATTCATGTTGCTCGTATAACAATAGTACATTCTTTTTAATTACTGTGTAGTATTCTACTGTTTGGATATACCCCAATTTCTTTATCCATTTACCTGTTAATGAACATTTGGTTTGTTTCCACTCTTATGGGCTATTTCGAATAATGCTGCTATGAACATTCAAGTACAAATCTTCTTGTGGACGTATGTTTTCATTTCTTTTGGGTTAGTATCTAAGAGTGTAATGTTTAGGCCATAGGGCAGGTGCATATTTAACTTATTAAGAAATTGCTAAACTATTTTTTTACATTCCCATAGCAGTATATAAAAGTTTCACATATTATTGTCAGTCTTTTTAACATTTAGTCTTTAAGCGTTCTGATAGGTGAGTAGTGGATTGTCACTGAGGTTTTAATTTGCTTTTTCCTAATGACTAATGGTTGGGCATCTTTTCTTGTGCTTCTTTGCTATTTATATATCTTCTTTGGTGAAGTGTCTTTTTAAATTTTCTGCATATTGTTTTCTTATTATTGAGTTTTGAGAGTTTTTAAAATATATATTATAGATACAAATTCTTTATTAGATATATGCTTTGCAAATATTTCCTTAGCATGTGGCTTATCTTAAGAGTATCTTTGGAAGAGCAGAAGATTTTAATTTTGATGAAATCTAATTTTTAAAAATATATGGATCACACTTTTGGTGTTGTGCCTAAGAAATCTTTGTCTAACAGTCACAAAGATTGTCTCCTATGTTTTCCCCTAGAAATTTTATAGTTTTATATTTACGTTTAAATCTTTGATCCATTTTGAGGTTTTGTTTTCTTTTTGGTAGATGGTGTGATATGTAAATCAAAGTTCAGTTTTTTGCTTATTGATGTCTAGTTGTTCCATTGTGGTGTCTCTAATTGCCTATTTACATAAGTGCATATATTTCTGGATGCTCTATTCTGTTCCATTGATCTATTTATCTATCTTGATATCAACATCTTACCATCTTGTTTAGTAGCTTTATAATACATCTTAAAATGAGATCATTTGAGTCCTCCAACTTTGTTTTTCCTTTTAAAAGTTGTTTTGGCTATTCTATATCCTTTACATTTCTGTATATATTTTAGAATCAGTTCATCAATTTTTACCTGAAAAAAAAAATGCTTGCTGAGATTTTAATTGGGATTGTGTAAAATCTATAGATTAATTTGGTGATAACGGACATCTTAATAATATTGAGCTTATCTACAATTTAGATTTTAACTGAATCACCCTGTCCTGCCCTGCAGAAAAAGACACGTATGTTATGAGGACATGGCATTTATTCAGTAAACAATTCAGAAACACATTTCTAAATCCCTCCTCAAGTCCTAGCAGTATGCTCCCTAGTTTGTGACAGAAATTTATAATCTAGATAAGAAGCAGCACTAGAACCTAGCATGTAGTTTAGACTGGAAAAACAAAAAACAAAAAACTCTGCTGAACTGAAAGACAGACTCAGAGGTATGGCCTTAGCCCATTCCTTTTACAGACTGGCAAACAGAGGTTCAATTTCACACAATTTTTCAGTAGCAGAACCAGGTCTCCTGAGCCTGGCTCACTGAGCAGGGTCCGTGAGTGATGCCAACAGCGAGGGCTCTAGGAATTCAAAGGGGCCCACAGTTCCCTGTGTGAATGAGCAGGAGTAGGGGCCTTGGGCTGGTCCCTGAGAGAAGATGAGACTCCAAGGGCAGAACACAGACTCAAGGGAATCAGGCAACAAGGGAGGAAGGTTTTTAAAGTTCCATAGGAATACCAGAACCTATGTCTATCTAGTACTTTTTAAAGCTCTGATACACATGACATTTATCACCTCAGTTTATTCCTACACCGCCTACACCATCTTTAACTGGAGATTGCTGGGTATAATAACTGTGTACTCTAGCAAGGCATACAGGGACCCCCGCCACCTCTAAGGTGACAGGAAGGACACTGGCAGCTGCTGAGGGATGTGGAGACAGGACCTCTAAAGACAGCCAGGCAGAAGGGGCCTTGTGCCCAGAAAGAGTTACAGAGCCAGAGAGGGCTTGTGCAGGGAAGATAGAGTATAACCTGATGAGTGAGACACAGCAGCACGACAAGTCATCACAGGAGGCAGGATCTTTAGTTTGGGACAGCCTCTTCCTTTGTGGCCTGACTACCTGTGACCAGGAGGCCTAGAGAGACAGGGAAAGACCAGGCTCACTGGGAAGGGCTCTGGTGTCAGGCAGCTTTGTAGGGACAGTGCAGTGCAGTGCAGTGCATGGGACACAAGGCAAATCCTAGCCCTGGCAGATGGCCAGAGCATGGGGCTGGGAAATGAAGGCTGCAGCCCCATCCTAGTGACTGGGCAACTCATGCCAGTCACATGGGCGATAAAGGGTGGATCCAGGAACCTTTGCAAGTCACTGAGCTGCCTCTAAGTGAGCATGTCCAGTGAGCATGATTTGGAACCTTGCTTGAGAAGTTCACAGATAGAGTGGAAGGAAATGAGATTGAGAGAAGAGAGGTAAGCCTCAAACATGTATTAAACTGGAGAGTTTGGTTTGTACGCTGGTGTGGGCAGTGGGGAGCCACTGGAGCTTGAGACCTGGTGTTACTCTTATAGCTAAAACAACACCTGAGCAAAGAACGTGATTCTTATCACTGTGCCTCTTACCAAGTCGGATAATTTGGGATCTGGTGGAAAAAATGAGCACTTAATGGGTTCATCATTTATTCCTTAATTCAGTATTAATGGAGCTAACTACGGAAACTGAGAGGGACCAGAATAGAGACATGCAGAGAATGCAGCAGGAAGGGCAGAGAACGGGGAGAGGACACCAAGGCCAAGTAAGCCAGGACCGATGAAAACCTTCCTGAATTTTTAGGACAATAAGACTCAGATCTACATCCTTACATATATATTTTTAGTATTCTCTCTATGTGTGTATATGTGTATAAAATCAACATATAAAATCAATTTAAATTAGCTTACATTTTAGAGTTGCGATTTTTTTTTATTTCAGGCCAAAGAGAATCCACAGTTTGAAGCAAGCACTAGGTATATACCTATTTTTTTTTTTTTTAAAAAGGGTCAAATATTTCAGATAGTCCATATTAATTCAACATAATTTCATTTTTGATATTTTTTAACACTTAGCTTATTATAAGAGATTTTCAATTTAAAAAGTATCTATCTATCTATCTATCTATCTATCTATCTATCTATCTATCTGTTACCCCACCCACTGCCAGCCTAGGGAATCTTTCCTAATACTTGCTTGCTCTGTTGCCAGTTGAGGTCACACCTGCCATTTGAAACCTCCTTTAATTAGCCTTATTTCTGGCTTTTTTCTTGAGCTTTCATATGAGAACCAATTCTTCTGTGATTTTCACCAGGCTGCCCTACCTCCTCGTTTGCAAAGTAGGCAAAATATCCTCTGATGTGAACTCATTCAGATTCCCTCACTCCACTCAGAAGTCCCTGATCATTCTTCCTTTCTTCATTCCTCCTTGTCTGGGAAGAAGATGCACTCACACTTCTTTCAGAGTTAAGTTCTTACTGGTGCTCGTCACCCGATCTATTCCTGCTTACTTAGAAACTTTCTCATCTATAATTCCTCTCCCTGAGCAAGGCATTCAGAGGATACTTAATAAATGCTTTTTGAATGAACTCGTAGACTGTGATCCAGTTCAGGTACAGGAGATTGCATAGTTTCTCTTGGCTTATTTGGCCTGATCGCAATGGAGGCACTCCAGGCATTAAAACAATGAGATGATAGAGGTGGGAAGGAGTGAGGGCTCTTGTAAACGGGTGAGTCCCTCTCCTTTCCCCTGAATTCATGCTCATACAGAGCACTCTAGTACAGCATTTAAGGTGCTATAATGTGATTAAGTTTTTTTCTCCACCATACCATGAATTCCTTGGAGGCGTGAAAGTTGTCTTATTAGTTTGAGCTTCCCTTGGGCCTCATATTATACAAGGGCCTGGCATTCGGTAGTTCAGTAAATGTTTAGTGAATAAACAAGTAACAGTGCTCATTGAATAATCACATCAGGCTAGCAAACTACTCTCATGAGGTTTAGCTCAAGACACATTTTATTTCTCCCTGATCTTCAGTGCCCAGCAAGTGTTTATTTGTTGACTTAATCTAACTCAAAAGAGTTACTGTACTACATGATACTTCAGGACAGAGAAGAGGGAAAAAGGAAACTATCATGAGCCAAGGAAAAAGCTTTTAAGAGGGTGAAAGTGAATTCCTCCTCCTTACCTCTCCCCGTTTAAAACTTGCAACCAGTTAGATGTTAACTGTATAATCCAGCAAGTGGTGTCCCTTGAACATTCCCTTGTTGAATGTCATGCACAGAGCCTGGGCAGGTCTCAGACTAAAGTGAAGGAGAAGGATGAAGGAGGCCCTTGAGACTTTACACCAGGAGAACCTGGGCTGAGTCAGCACCACTCCAACTGGTTAGGGGGGAATGCAAGTGCAATTCTTTCCAATGGTTCGATGTTCATATGTAGTTCTCTAAAGCAAAGGCAAGAAAGTGGAATTTGCTTCCTGGATTGAAAATATAGGAAGAGGTACTAGTAATAGGAAAGACCCAGTGCCCACCCAGCACATGTGAGATCAAAGGCAGGATCCAATGGGAGAGCGGCGCATGGAAGCCATGGGTGAACACAGCAGCTCAGAAGCTGAGGAAGACGTCGACTAATTCTCAGCCCTTCCTCGATTATGTGACTGAGAAGAAAGGTGTAAAATCAATTTCATGCTGTTCATTTACACAGATCTAATTAGGCCAGAATTTAAATGAAGGGCAAACATTTCATGTTGAGAAGAGCTTCCCCTTTGGAAAAGATGACCTCTTAAGGAAATGGTCGTAGAAATAAGAGAATTGCCAGAATGTCTGCTTGAGAATAAAGATACGGGATGGGGGCACTTTATTTGTGGCTCTATTCAGGATTTATGGATTTCACCTCCTCTCAAAGCTTTCCATGGAAAGGTTAGGATCACTTGATCTATGTGCTCACTCACAGGACTTCACCTCTAACTTCTCTGTGTGTCAGTTTTCTGGTAGGCAGAACTGGGGATGGGATCAAAAAGAAAAATAAGCGTGGAAGCATTTTTATACTTTATATGTTTATGGGGCATTGAATGTGCTGTTTTTGTTTTCATCTTTTCTTTTCTTACCTGTTCAAGCTAAAAATAATCTTCGCCAAAAGACCTTTTACTTTCTGCTTTAACCACTGCCCACGATCAAACTTTTGAGAATTTAGTATTTGAGATTTTGGATTTGGATTTTTATGTAATTAATTTGGTGGGATATGAAATATGTATTCAGGCATACAACTTAGTTAGAAAAGGCCTCTGAAAGGAGTTTCAGTTCAAAATAAATTTATTAAGCATCTATAAACAGTCTTTAAAGAAAGCTACACAGACCCCACTCCCTACTCCAGGGCAAGGCTAACTAATGTATGTTTCTTCATCAGACTTCTAGACTTTTGATGTTAAGGAGCATGAAATGGCAAATTAACATGAAGATGGTCACGTAATTAAGAAATTGGATGTTCAGTCTTGGTCACCAAATATTAATGGCAATGCCATTTAATAAGGCAGTGATTCTCAATTAGGATACATATGTGTGTTATAAAATGGTATATTTGGAAAATTTTTAAATGACTTATTTTCTTTGTAGTACAGACCAGGAAAAGTGAGGCTTGAGAAAAATCTTGGCTGGTGAGAGTTCATAGAATTCGGTTCCTAAATTTTCTTTATATGATAAGGCCTGCCCCTGAATGGATTGTAGCAGAATCTCTGAAAGATGTAAAATTTTTGTTTTGTTTTCCATGGAGACTTTGTATTGGCTTATGAAAAACTTTTTAAATAAAAGATAAAATTATCTTTTCATCTCCTAAATAATTGGCTTTATCCCCCAATACTGTCTCTGATCGATCCATATCCCAGCTGCCTTTTTTATTGTGAAAAACTCAGACTGAAGGAAGACCCCTGGTTTGGACTCTTTCAGCTGGGGCCCTACAGATGAGTAAAATATGTTTTGAGAATTCTATTCTCAACCAGGTAGGATATTTATTTAACAGGAGACTCTTCAGATTATCAAGCACTATTATAATATTGAGCCTACCAACCATGTCTAGTCATAAAGTATGTTTTGTTCTGAGGCATTTGACTCCCTTTTTCATGTGCCAAGAATCTCTTAAAGAGACCTTTAAAATATCCTTTGCTTGAGGACAGAATGGTCAACATTGGCACAATATACGAATTTGCAGATATGAGCCAATTAATACAGTTATAATTCCTCCTTCACCTACAACATAAGGATGTGGATTATCCAGGTGCCTTTCTTTTTTCCTTTCTGTTTCTGTCCTGCTAATTGAAGATCATCAGACCCAAAGATGTGAGGTGAGCAGAAGGATGGATAATATTTAGTTAAGTGTATCCTAGTCTATACTTGATTATAGACCATGTCCATATATGTCTGTGTTTCTGTGTGTGCACACACATGCATGCACACACCTTCAGTGCTAGGAAAGCAGGCTGGTTTCAGGAGACAGAAAGATAGGTGAAAAACTTATATCGGTGTGAGTTTTGGTGATTTTTTTCACTAATTAGAGTCACAAAAACCAGTCAGCTCTTTAGAAGATTAAGCAAAAAAAACCAACTCAGTTATATTGTGAAAACTAGAACAGTACACTGAAAATACCAAATGCTGGTGAGGATATGGAGCAACAGGAACTCTCTGATCGTTGGTGAAATTTTAAAATGGTACAATTTGGCAATTGCTTACAAAGCTAAAGATAGTTTTCCCATACAGTCCAGCAATCATACTCCAAATGAGTTGCAAACTATGGTATATTCATACAATGGAATATTATTCAGTGGCAAAAAGAAACGAGCTATCAAGTCACAAAAAGACATAGAGGAAACTTAAATGAATATTGCTAAGTGAAAGAAGCCAGTTTTAAAAGGCTACATACTATATGATTCCATCTATATGACACTCTGAAAAGGCAAAACTATAGAGATAGTGAAAAGATCAGTGGTTACCTGGGTTCGGGGTAGTGGTTGGGGGATGACTAGATGGAGCACAGGAGATTTTTAGGGCTGTAAAACTGTTCTGTATATTATATTGATGGACATATGACACTATGTATTTATCCTAACCCATAACTATACAACACAAAGAATAAACCCTAAGATAAACTATGAACTTTAGTTAATAATAATGTATCTATATTGGTTCATCAATTGTAACAAATGTACCACACTAATGCAAGATGTTAACAATAGAAACTGTGGGGAGAGCATGGAGTTAGTTATATGGGAACTCTCTGTACTTTCTGCTCAATTTTTATGTAAAGCTAAAACTGCTCTAAAACTAAAATCTATTATTTTTTTTTATTAAAAAAAAAAAAAAGCCCACATGCAGTTAGTATAGTGGAAGCTGTTGATACCTGGCCCAAATCCTTTTTATCAGGCAGGTACACCCATTGTCCAGCTGCTTTGAGGTTAGCTGCTAACGGCTCACAGCTGTTCTGAGGACTGCCCTCAGCTACCCAGAGCCCTGTGGCCAGGACCTGCCTGAGAGGATATGGCCTCTCTTAAGGGCAGGTTACAGCCAGCCAATGACTGACTGATTCAGGGTACAAAAGCCAGCCCTTCCGCCTTAAGATGGGACACTTGTGGTACCATCCATGCTCCAGAGTTTCCCAGGGGATCAGGCTGATGCTTGACTTTAGCCGAACCCTCTCCTGCAACTGGCTTCTTCCTTGTCCTGGCTTCCACTCTCACTGCCTTACAGGTTTCATCTGAAAGCCTTTTATCCATAGCTCGCTTATACAATCTGCTTCTGGGAAACCTGACCTAAGACACTACCAGGAAGGGTCCCAGAAAGGATGGGATTCTGGTGTTGGGTCACTTGCTGGCCAAATGGCAATGAGGACTCCATCAGGTGGTGTTGGTAATCCTAGTCCCTGGCCTGGTATAGCAGTTCAAATGCTAAGACCTTCACCTGTGGTCACCTGAGATCAGATATAGGTGGACAGGGATGCACCAACTCTCGCTAGTATTTGGGAGGTTGGGAGGAAATATCAACTGTCAGAACTGTGGAATTGGAAGGCTATTGGCAAGCACCACTGATGCACTGAAGAGAGTAACAGGCTCAGATTAATCACCAATTTAAAGCACAGTGTGAGACTCATAGTGCATTATTGGCAGTGTTTAGCCTCCTACAAGAGAGGGCAGCACTCGAGAGAAGAATGAATTCTCAGCCAGGCATGTCCTGCCACCTGATCAATTCAGGTTCCTAATGCCAGTAGATGAGCAGGCAAGGCAGGCCCTGATAGGGAAGATATGGGACCGTGAAACTTGCAATGAGGAATCTGTACATGCCCTTGCCCCCTGGACTAGCAGAAGTGGCCCACTACCCCTTGTTAGATGATAGACCTTTCTCCTCCCCACACTCCCAAGATTATGCAGAAGCCTCAGATGAGACATACAAGATAATGCTTACCCTTCCCAGGATGCATCCTCTCCTCCCCTCCGATCCCTTTCAGAGCAATAACTAGCATCAGATTACACGATCTCACTGGGGAAGAAGCACATAAACCTATGGACATGTCCTCACAATGTGAGGATCTCTGCATCATGTGCTAATGCCCACCAGAGAATATTCATTGCAGAAAAGGTACCAAACAACCAAGCCGACTGGATACTTGGCCAGCAGGTGCCAGCCAGCTTCCTCCTCAGCACCCCAGTGCCTACACAATGGGCTCATAAATGGAGAAGTCTTGGTGGCAGAATGGGAGGCTGTGTGTGCATGGGTCCAGCAGCACCGGCTCCCTGCCAACAAGACTCATCCAGCTACTGCCACTGTTGACTGTCCAGCCTGCCAGCATGGAGATCGATGCTGAGCCCCAGTTGGATGCCCTCCCTTGAGAACAGTTGATTTCAGGAGATACCCTCTGGGTTAGAAGGTACAGTCATTCATCCTGAGCGGGGTTGACATGTGTGCCTTTTCTGCCCACAGTGCCTCAGTCTGAGGACTCACATAGTGTCTGATCAACCATGGAACTTTGCTTTGATCGAGAGACTTAGTCACAGGCATATGATCACAAAGTCAACCCACCAGTCGTACCATATACCACCCTGTTCAGAAGCAGCCAACCTGATAGTGCTGTGGAATAGTCTCTTGAAGGCGAGGATGAACAGCAGGTTGGGACATGACAACACAGGGCTGGGGTGCTAACCTTCAGGATGCGGTATACACCTTAAACCAATAGCCATTTTTATGATACTGTGCCCCTAGTAGGCAGAATATATGAATCTGGGAGCCAAGAGGTCAAATGAGTTGTGCCCTTACTCATTATCATACTCCTATCAAATTCTCACATGGGGAATTTGTTCCCCACATCCCTGTAATTTTAGTCTCAGTGGGTCTGGAGGTATTGGTTCCCAAGAAGAACATTTCCACTGTGGTGCACAGTAAGAGTCCTACTTAAGTCTGTGACTGGTTTTGGGCTTGTAACGTTAAGCCGTCATCTCCCTCCCACGAATTCCAAATCCCCCTCCTCCTCATCTGACAATTCTGCTGATAGCAGGCATAGTGGGCGTTCCAGACTCATGTCTGTCTATTGTTCTTTTCCTTGTCCGCTTACAGTTATACGCGGGCATGGGAGTATTTGGAAATGTCCCAGTGAGTCACCAATGCACTAGATACCTTCCTCTCTGCCTCTGTTAAGTAACAGCCCAACCTCCTCATGATGACCAGTTCCTCCAGCATCACAACTGCTTTCTTTGTCTGCTGATCTACTGGCATAAGAACAAAGTGATAGGCGTCCTCATGCCAGCAACAATAAGGCCTGGGTGGGAGAAGGCAGTAAGGTGGGAATTCTCCTAAGAACTTAAGCAATTTCATGATGGACAGTCACAGAACAGTGTAGTATGCTATGTCTGGTGCTATTGGTTAACATAAAGGAGTTAAGCTAATACTATTTTACTAGCTTGGATTGTGCTGATATTTTTGACTTCTGAATTCAGTTTTGTCCCTGATTTGCAAAACCCTGGCCATTGAATGATACACATAATACAAATAATCATTCTGCTACAAAGGTATCAGAGGAAGAACCTGTCTGCTAACCCTTGAGAGCCATAAGCACCCCACAAACCCCACCACCCCCACCACCCCCCGCATACAGGCCTAACTGTGGGTCCCTTGTCTGGTCTCTAAGGGTCTTGAGAGTGATGGAACTGCTTTAATACCTGTGAACCATCTAGTGTAGTACTTAGGATTATTGGCTGATTTCTGTGGGATTGCCTTTTAGGCCTAGATATGTGGTTACTTTCATTATTTTTATTATTACTTTATTGTTATTCAAATAATTTCATGCATTCTTATGATGAAAAAATAAGTTCTAGCAAACAGTCATCTCTGGTGAGATTGTGGGTTATTTTAGATATCTGCCCAATTGGTTTTAACTATTTGAAGTTTCCTTTTCTAATTATAAAAAGAATACATATATAGATTATCAAAAATTTAGAATATACAGAAGTACAAATGCAAATCAAACGTAACTGAAATAACCACTATAAATATTTTACTCCAGATTTTTGTCTAAAGAAATGCATATTTTAAAAAAAATTTGGAGCCATGCTACACAAACAATTGGGGGGGGGGAGCTTTATATTTTAGTCTTATTGAAAAATTCCTATTAAATCCCTGACAAAATGGGCAAGGCTTTGACTGAACCCAAGTAGACACATCAGCTTGATCTCCCCACCTACCATCCACCTGTGGCCTGTTCCAACCCAGAACATTTGAGAGCATCTGGTTGCTGAGCCAGGAAATGGTTTCCCAGTTGTGAAATGCCTTTGACCCCAGTTCCTAGCAGATCTGAAAGTCTAGGATAGCCAGCTTAGACTTCCCTGGAAGCTGGCAGGGACTTTGACGACTTAAAATGCAAAGAAAAAAAATATGCCCTGAGACTATGTAGAATCTAAAAACAATTGATTGAATGCTTAGGAGTGATTTCCTTCCCAGGGGCTAAAGACAGGTTTGGAAAGGAAATGGACACTTCACAAACAGACCAGCCTAAACGTACAAGTTTACGCTCTGGGTCACCAAGCAAAAGATGCTAATCTAGCCTCCTACGTACCCTTGATCGCTCCTTTGTGAGCTCTGGAGAGCTACTGGGATGGTTTAGGCAGGAAGTGACCCCTTGGATTAACTCTTAGAAGTCAGAGAAGAAGCTTGGTGAGCAGCACAGCAAGGACTAAAGCACTGAAGGCTTACAGACCCCAGCTCAATTCCAATTCCACCTGTTTGGATGAATTACTTAACTTCTTTGCACTGAAGTTCTTTGATCGCATATTTTACAAAATAGTAATACTGGAAAGTCTTCCCATGAGAATTAAATGAAGTGATCTAGCCTAGTGCCTAGATCACTGTTAGCATATTATCTTTAGCATGTAGTTCCCCATATTTGTTCCTCCAGGGGCTTAGGTATTACTTTAAGGCAGCTCTCTGCCCCACCCCCAGCCCTTATGTGAAAATTATGTACTTTAGTTTGTGTGACAGAAATGGTCCTTAAAAGTTTTTGCATAATTATAAAAAAATAGAGAAAAATCTCACTTGAAAGAAAAATAGTTTGCCCATATGAAATCTCCAGGCTCAGAGCTGCCTCCAGACTAGCAGGATCTACAATGGTCCCTTTATGCCATCTAGTGCACGGCTAGGGAAAAGCCATGATTTTATCTTCAGTGTAATTTGCCAAAACATGTATTCTGATGAGGATAATTTAAACTCACTAATGGGTTCACTTTTTAATAAATTCCATTCAGTATGTTAAGCAAAATAAAAGGTTGGAATTCTAAACACTAAGTGCTAAAACGAAATTCCCCAAACCATTTAGGATTTATGCGATGTGTGCTATAAAGATCACCCACTGAAGGAAAAGAGAATACACTCCCATCCTTACCAACATGAATTGTCGTGGCCCACCTTCTATATTCTCCTTGTCCTTCTCCGCCAATACTCTTTATGTTTGTTCTGGTACATGACTGGGAGTGCCCCAGAGACTCAGCATCTATCTTCCCAACACACTGCTGGACCTTTGCTGGTAGCAGAGCCAAGGTACCATTCTGTTGGTTTTCCAAAAATGCAACCATCAGTTAAAATATTGTCACAATCAAATTGAATGTTTGTCAAGGGCCTATGTGTTTGTGTTTGGTTTGGTTTTTCTGGTGTGTGTGTGTGTGTGTGTGTGTGTGTGTGTGTGTGTGTGTGTGTGTGCTGTTTCCTTTTAGAGCTGTTTATTTATTACCTTTATAATTGTTTCCTCCCCCAGATATTCATGAGGATGAAGACAATGGCAGACAAATCTCTCCCAAATGTGAGTAATAATAGCACACTTGGAGTGCCCAGAGCTGTTCTGTGACCTTCTCTTTAATATCGTTGTAATTACTATTAACAACAACTCTAACAGGTGTTATTTATTTAAGTCCTATGATATACCAGACATTTTTGTTTATAAACATTTTTACTAACATCAAAACTGCAAAATAGATATTATTGTCTCCATTTTAGAGACAAGGAAACTGATGCTCAGAAAGGTTAAGTGGCTTACCCAATATCACACAGCTAATGAGTTCTTGTCAAAGTCAGAACTGCACTCAGGTCTGACTGACTCCAAAGCCCCTGTTCCTACCTCCAGACAACGGGCCTCTCATTTACTCACTCACATGACTGTGACCTGCCAGGTCCTGGGCCCAAGGTACTGAGGTCCCCTCAATGCTACAACCTCCGTAGTACCTAATACTTAGTACTCAAGACCCTTAGTACCCCAGAGCCCAAGGCCAGTGAATCCAGGAGGAAGGTATTAAATATGGACTTGACAAAGCTACAGCAAGAGGCAGCCTGTGTGTGAGCTGCACTTTCCTCCCCTGTAAAACCAGGGGCTTTGACTGAGGAACATTCTCCGAGTTTTGCTGGTTCTGAGAATTCCGGTTTGTTCCAGGAGCCATGGGGGTCTTGTGAGGTGACTGCGGGTTAACACATCACCTCCCACAGCCCCCCTCCTCTTCTATCTCTCAGAGTACGACAGAATAGAACAACAAAATAGACTAGAACAAAATGGAATAGAATAGATGACTTCACACACTGTAAAGGTAATATTTTTCCATAAACATTTGTCTTAATTTTATAAGTGTACTTGTGTGTGTACACTGTGTTGGGATATAAAATTTGCATCTCCCTTTGTTGCACTACAAAGTGGCTGGAACTTGTCAGGTCAGTCAGTTCCCTGTTGCCTCCCAGCCCTGCCCATAGAACACCCCAGGCTGAGTGTTTAATGGCTAATGGAGATCAGAGCCTGGCCCCACCCCCAGCCTCCCAGAGGGTGGCTCTGGGGGCCCTGGCACCAGCATTGTCTGTGGTACTGAGGCTGCAGACCCTGGAGACACAGCCCCTGTGTTCACGGAGGGGGTGGTCAAAGGCACGGCTGCTCTGATCCGCCCCTACAGCCTTTCACCAGTCCTCATCCTCACTATCTGCTCCCAGTTTAGAGATCCCAGGTTGGATGACTGCCCTAAAGAGATGTCTCTGGGATCACTGCAGATGCCTCCAAGTCACACCTGGAGGGGAGTAGTGGGAAGCATGTCTCTAAGCCAGTTTCTCCTCTGCCCTCCACCCCTCATCCTTACCATGTCCTGGGACCAGGAAATAAACCAGGCTTTGCTTCAATCCGAGCAGACAGTGTCCAGCTACCTGGAAACCCTCAGGTGTCACCGGGTTTCTGAGGGCTGCCAGGAAGGGGAGTACCCAGCTGCTTCCTGTGCTGCTTGCACAGCCCCAACCGACTGGCTCTGGGCCCCAGAACATTGCTGGGGTGTGGGCTCTGGGCAACGGGTTGTGACCTCCTACTTGCTCGCTGCCTGTTCCCCAACATAACTGAGCCCTCACAGCATCCCCAGCTGTAGGCGTCTTCTGCTCCCTGTCCTTGGCCCTGCTCCTCTGTCCGGAATGCCCTCTCGACCCACGTCCTGCCCCTTCCCCCTGAACTCTCACCAAACAGAAACTCTCCAGCACTCAGATTCCCAAGGGATGACTTACTCAGCTAACTCTCTTCCCAGGGCTGCCATGTGGGATCTTTTTGCTCCTCCCTAATCTGCCTTGTGAGCAGCGTCAGGGCAGAGCATGGGGAAATTACACACACACACACACACACACACACACACACGTGTGTATATATCTTACTGTTAAAATGTACAGCTGAAACTTATTGGATTTTGTTAACCAATGTCACCATAAATAAATAAATAAACAAACAAACAAACAAATAAATAAAATAGAGTGTGGGGTAATGAACAGGAATCTTGTAGCATCCACCTGCTATGATTACAGCCAAGAGAATTTGGCCAAGTAATGAGTCCTCTCTCATCTCTGTTTCCTCACCTGTAAAGTGGGGCTAAGGCCCTTACACAGTTGTGCTAACATCCCTACAGGCACAGAGCAGCCTCAGTTTTCATGGGAGCTGCAGTTCCCCACAGCACCGAACAGCCTGGGCACATAACAGGAGCGTGGTAGCACAACTGATTGGTTAATGAATCCATTCATTGGAGAGAGAAGCAGGATGTACTTGTCCCTCAGATTTTCCTGTGAGGAGCGCAGTGATATTTGGCTGAAGCTGCCAAGAAGAGAAACAGGCAATAATCACGGGAGAGAAATAGAGGCAAAGAAGAGAAGAGGGCGGGAAGGAGGGAGAGTCATCAAACGCAGAAAGACAGTGTTTTCTTGGAGGGCAGGAGGTAGGGCTGTGAGCAGTGTGTGGACGTGTCTTCTTAGTCAGTGACAGAATTTTGATGCTGGAAAAGGGAACCAGGAGACCACAGACCCAGCCCCTCACCACCCAGGTGAAGCAGTCCAGTCATGGGAGAATAGGCATTAGAGATGGGGAGAATGGGTTCCTGGGGACACTCTGTCATTGGCAACAGGGCCCCTCCTCCCACCCCTCTGCCCCCTCAGTGGTCCAAATTCATCTCTTCTTTCCCCAAGGCTGCTCCAGCAGGGAGTTTATCTCCATGGAAACCTTTGAGGACTGTGAAGGGGCAGAAGATACGGAGAAGGAAGGCAGCTCTCTGAGAGTAATTTATTTCCTTCTTACCCCTTTCAAATTCTCCCTCATTCCTGTTCATCAGCTTCTCCTGCCTCCTCTTCCTCTCTGTACCCCTCTCTCCTTCCTTATGATTCTCGCCCATAGGGACCCGGCCTAGTCCAGGAAGCTGAGGTCACTGCATCTGCAAAGTGGCTCAGATCCTGCAAGCCCAGCATGGCCCACATCACCGTCTCCTTGGCAATGCGCTGGTTTCTGGCCATAATGAGAGGCTCCTACCGGGACCCGGAGTGGCCCCGTAGGAGAGCTGGGGTGGGCCCTGCCCCGACAGCGAGAATCACCGTGTGGGCCTGGCCGGGTACCCCAGCACTACTAACTCTGAGGGTGCATCACTGTCCCCTCCCTTCCAGCTCTCGGGCCTTTTCCAATTGGACGACAGTTATGAAACCTGTTCCTCCAAGTCTGTTCCAGGCACTGGAGAAAGCATCCGGGGAGGAAAAGAAGGTGACGAGAAGAACACGTGAGTGTGAAAGAGGAAAGAAAAGTAAGCGAAGTTGTTGGCCGATGCTTCTCTGATTTTCTTCTCGGAATTTCAGGGCAACAGACAAAACTGAGGAGGGAGTTTGGGGTGGGGAGTGTTCATTGGCTTGCTCACCCCTACAAGGAGGCGACTAGTTTCCCCGCAAAAGCAGTTTCCCCGAGGACACCCTCCCCAGAGAACTGACACTCCAACCGCGGCTCCTGGGCTCAGCCCAGCCACCCCAGGCTGTCATTCCAGCAGAGGCTGCTGCTGGCGCTGAGGCTGTGCCCACCTTTCAGCAAAGAGCAGCAAAGGGGCATCAGAGCCTACGGACCTGCCTCCTGGACGGGGGCAGGGGTGGAGGGGGTGGTGCTAGGACGCCTCCAGGAGGACTCGGCAGCGGTCCGGTCACTCCTGCGGAGCCTCCACCCCTGGGGAGCCGAGGGAAGAACAAACAACTGCTCCACACACGCCCTCACGAACGCAGTGGAGCCCAAGCCTGCAGGGCTCGGCCCAGGGTTTCTCAGTGTTGGCACGTGTGACATTTGGAGCGCTGTCCTGTGCATTGCTTAGCAGCATCCCTGTCCTCTACTCTCTAGAAGCCAGTAACATCTCCACCCACTTACCCAAACTGTGACCATCAAAAATGCCTTCAAGAAGTTGCCAAATTTCTCCTGGGGTGGGAATGGGGGGAGATCAGTTGAGATCCTCTCATCTGAGTTGGAGGACCCACAGCCACTCAAACCAGACAGGAGGGAGGACTGCCCCCTCCTCCTTGCCCCCTACCATTCCCCTGAGAATGTTAATGTGGCATTTGGGGTACTTGGTTCCAGGATTGTTTCGTTTCAGAGAGGGCTGGTTACAAGTTAACTTCTGAGGTATTTCTGTTTAGATTTATTCGTTTTTTAATTGTTATTTTATTTTTTTTTTAGCTTTAGTAATTTTTAGTTTTATTTAATTTCCTAGTTTTAAAGTTACCTGTTTATAATTATTTTATTTTAAAGGTTAGTTTTTGAGTTATTCATTTTTGGTTACTTATTTGTAGTTATTTTAAGTGTTATATATTTCCGAATTAGTTAGCTATAGAATTATTTATTTTTAATTATCTTTACAGTTAGTAATATCTGGGTTATTTATTTGCATAGTTATTCTATTTTTAGTTAATGAAGTATTTAGTTATTTATTTTTAAAGTTTATTTGACTACTAAAAAATCACTGAAAGTTTTTAAATATTTTTGACTTATTTGTTTTTAGAGTAAAATTTTTTAGTTATCTTGGGGGTTTTCTCCTAGTTATTTAGTTTTAGAGATACTTATGTTCACAGTTATTTACTTTAGTTATTTTAGATTCTGGGTTGTTTACTTTTACATTGTTTTAGTCATTTAGGGTTTTTTCGGTTATTTGGTTTAAATTATTTCATTTTTAGAGTTATTTAATTTTTGAGCATTATATTTTCTAAATTTTTTATTTTCATGGTTTTTGAGATACTCAGTTTTTGAGTTGTTTCCAGAATAATTTGTTCTCATTTATTTCTTTTTAGTTCTTTGCCATTAGAAAATTTTTTTCTCTTTTGTATTTTTACTTATTTTATTTTGACATTTATTTTCAGAATTATTTAGTTTAGAATTACTTAGTCTATCAGTCAGGATGAGAAAGAGAGAGAGAGAGAGAGAGAGAGAGAGAGAGACTGAGACCATACCAATTATTTTAAGAGAGGGAATTTAATATAAAGGATTGTTATTCAGCTACTGGAGATTTTAAAAGGAAAAAGTGATAATGAGATAATGTGGAGATTTTAACTGCAGGAAGCAGCTACCTGCCTGAGGGCTGAGGGAACAAAGGGAAGAGGTTGGAGGTGGCCTCTGAGGAGGAGATGCTGCCTGATAGGACAGATTCCCAGGAGCTGGATGCAGGACTGAAAAGGGGACACTGCCAGCTGGTACTGGTGTCTCTGAAGGGGCGTGATGAGGCTGGTTATGGAAGAGTTAAGAAAATGGCAAACTTCAGTTACTGGAACCATCTGTCACTCTCAGGGTGAGGACTAGTTGCTATGGGAATGCTGACAGCAACCCAGGTGTGCAGGAAGGAGTACTTGTCCCTCTTCTCTCCTCCAGCCTCTGGTCAGTCTGCACTATTGGCCAAGCCTGTCAGGGAGCAGTTGGCAAAGGAGGCAAGTGGCCCCACACCACAAAGCAGAGAACAGAACGGTGGACTGGAAGCTGAGAAATCACATTGAATACCCAGCACACCGGGCTCTGGAATTATTTGGTTTTAGAGTTAATTTTAGAATTGTTAAGGTGATTTGACTGGATGTGGAATCTGGCTGAGTCTTCAGTCCCCTGATTTGTTTCTGGAATTGAACAAGTCAAACACTTGAGAGGAGTGTCTCCTGTGAAACTCAAGAAAATCACTTTAGATTCAAGAAAAACAAAATTAAGTATCTCACTTTGTAAAGAAGACTGTGTGGCCAAAAAGGGAAGAGGCTATGGGACAGACCATCAGAGAGGGGCTGTTCGGCACAATGGTCCAGCAGAGTGTTCTTTGAAATTTTTCAGAAAGTTAAGCTATGTTTAGGGCCACCTACTCCCATTCCCTTTCCAAACAAAGCATCTTTCTTGATAGAGTGTGTTTTAGATTTGTAGACTACAATATTTATTTGCACAACAAAATTAAATTCTTTCCAAATCTATAGGAAAACTTATTTCCTTCTACCTGCATTATTTTCCAACACACATTGTTCCATTTTGACCATGAAAACATTTATGTAAGTATGTATACATGTATATATGTATGTGTATTCACTCACTTCATTCAACACCTATTTCCTCAGTGCCTCTGTTCTAAGGAAGGTGCTGGCACCAGAGGAGACCAGGGAGGTATGAAGGTAAATGGGATGCCCTCAGTCTAGTTTGGGGAGACAGATATGGAAATAGGTTATCACAACACAATGTAACAGATGCTGTGGGGTCTCAGAACCCTGACACTGACTCTTCTTGATACAATCAGGGAAGGAGTGACATCTGAGCTGGGTGTCCTGGAGCAAGTGTTTCTCCAGGTGGAGAAGAAGGACATCCTGCTCAGGCACATGCACAGAAACATCGCAGAGCCATGCACAGCAAAGAGGATGCATTGACAGAGGCCACTGGGTCACAGAGTTCAGAAAGGTGCTCCATTAAGTGCTGTTCCCGGTGAACAGATGCAGCCTCATTTGGTCCTCACAAGCAGACTGCAAGAAAGTAGGAAGCAATCTTGATAGTCAGTGCTCTTCCTGATCTCACTGTTTCAACCGCAGTCTACAAGGCCCTCTGACTTGCCATTTCCAGAATTCTTCTGCTCATTCCTGGCTTTATCATTGGTCCAGCCACTCCTTCCCACTTACCCTTGGAGGTGGAGTCCTCTCTCCTCCGAACCTCTTGATTCTTATTTCTTAAACATCTGTAGGGAAGGAGGAGGGTTGAAACCAGCCAGCTGGGACATGCAGGTGTCGTCAACTGCAGAGGAGTTAGAGAGCTACCTCGGGGTCTCAGGGGAGCTCTGCAGACCAGCATGGTGTGAGTGGGCTCTTGGCATAACCAGCCATGACCTCCTCCACCTGCATTCAGCAACCACTGAAAATGTGGGGGGGTGGGGGGGGGAACCTACTTTAGCTCCAGCCCAGACTTGTGAATCAACAGAATGGGATTTTGTTAAGCACACAGAGCCCTAGCTTCATTAACGACACTGGCCATGTCTACCAAGTCAAAAGAAAGTATAATCCTGCACAACCTATGATGGCACATTTTTACACATCTTATAATACACATTCATACAGTCAGTCTTGATACATACAGGTTTCTCAGCAGACTTCTCTGCTTTGGTCTCTCCGATTATCTTATCGATCACAAATTCCCCAATGAGAATATATAAGAACTAGAGCAAAACAGAAGAATCTTCAGGATTCTGACTATTAAATCATCATAAAACACATTACTCAGATCCTCTTAAACCCTTTTGACCATTGACTAGACAGCCACTCATTATAGAAACAGCCCAAAGCTTTCTCAGTCCTTTGGACCTTAGTTGTTTTCTGAGTCTTTGAAAATGGCCACACTTGTTGGTGCTGGCTGAGTGCAGAGCACCCAGACCTCCAAGGCCTTGCAGGAGGAACCTCTCCACAAACCTCACATCACAGGCGGGTGACCGGAGGAGCCATTTCAATACCCATCATCATGCTGGTGTTCCCAGATGCTGTCCCCCGTACTCCAGGATGGTCCTCTCTGGCCTTCCATTCTAGCCTCCTTGCCCAAGCCCCACACTGCTAAACTGCTTGCAGGTGGCCTCTGGGAGAAAGCTGGGCTTAGGAATCAGACTCTCTTTAAGTTCACGGTAGACTGAGGTGTGGAACAGGAACAGTGGAATAATTCTCATAAAGCCATGCCAGATACACAGCATCCCCTGCCCCAGGGCCTGCACACAGGAAATAGTTGTGAATCTTCTAGACTTCTTAAAAACGATAGGGAGGTGGCTCTTCTGTGAGTAAAATTTGTGTCATTCTTCCATGTGATTAAATGGAAAGAATCCCAAACCTTCAGATAAAATCGCACCCACTCCCCTCCCCTGCCTTCTTTTACAAGTTGTTCAAATCATCCATGGCTTTATAATGTTTCCTGTTGCCCACTAGAGGGACCCAGAGTTGAACATGTTGCTGAGAAGTGGGACCGCTGTAGCCCCAAATAAGTCCCTTGACTGAAGCAGTTTCACTAAAAGCAGCCTGGTTCTGTAAAATCTGGAGGGAGTCTGAATCCATACTAAATGCCAGCTATGCATTATGAAGTTATTTAAAAACTAGTTATCCTCTAAACCAGCATTTCCCAGAGTATTTTTGCAGAATACACAGAAAGAGTAAAAGTTTGATGAGTTAATCCCACAACAACAACAACAAATTTATCTAATAATAAATACATTTTTAAAATTCTACATGTTCTATCCCTCTTTGGTTGATCCCAGTTAGTAGATTAAAGTATCTGAGAACTCTTGCAGGAAGGAAGTTTAACTTTTGT